CAGCCCCAAGCAGCACCCCATCCAAGGCCTCATACCATAGCATCGGGCTCTGCTTGAGCCCATACAGACTCTTCACCAACTTACAGACACGAGGAGTCCCATCCTCGTAGTAGCTCGGCTGCTCCATGTAAAGGTCTCGGTCCAGCACGCCATGGAGGAACGCGTTCTTCACATCGAGCTGCATCAGGTCCAAATCAAGTGCAGCTGCAATCGCCAGAAGCACACGCGCCGTCACATAGCTTCCCACAGGGGCGTACGTCTCCTCATAGTCCACCCCTGCCACCTGCGTGAACCCCTTCACCACCAGCCTCGCCTTCTCACGCTCCACTATCCCATCAGGTCGGAACTTGGTGTTCAAAATCCAGCGGTTCTTCATCACATTCACCCCTGGCGGACGCGGAACCAACTCCCACGTCCCCTGCTCAATCAAGCTCTGCATCTCCTCATCCATCGCCTCCTTCACCTTGTCTCCCTTCCAGCAGCCCAAGGCCTCCTTCACTGTCATTTTCGCTATGTCCCACTGCCTCTCAGGATCAGCTGCCACGTCCGGGTCCAGGTTAGTCCACTCCTCGTCCTCCTCCTCGTCATCCAAGCCCGCTGGCTCAACCACTACAGCCCAAGCGTATCGAACAGGCGGGACACCACGAGTGATGCGAGTGGAGCGACGCAGTGGTGCAGTGGTCGTCCCAGAAACCAACACACGACCACCATCTCTAATTCCCCACATCTCCTGCTCCCCTGTCTGCTGCTCCCCAATCTGCTGCTCCCCTGTCTGCTGCTCCCCTGTCTCCTGCCCCCCACTCTGCTGTACTCCATCCATACTGCTCTCGTCCTGCAGCTGCTCAGTCTCAAGGCGCTGCCCGTCGGTGATCTCCACAGGCGGTGGCACCTCCATCCCCCCCTCACCAACGGGCGGCGCCGTGGAAGACGAAGAAGAGGGCGGAGCAGGTGCAGGAGGGATGGAGGGTGGAAGGGGAGATGGAATAACAGGAGGAGGAGGGGAAGCCAAGGGGGGTGAGGAGGAAAAAGGCGGGGCAGGGGGAATCACACGAGGGTAGACTGAAGGCGGAGGTGGGGTGGGGACCGAGGTAGGGACATAGGGCATAGCAGGAGGTGCGACCACCTCCTCCTCCTCCTCCGCCTCCTTGAGAGTGATCGGGAAGAGTGAGGGAAGGGGCTCATAGGGCATCGAACGCCCCCCATGCTCCTGCTGATGCCAAGCCTTCCATCCTGCTAGGGACATGGTCTCATAGAACACAGCTTCCACAGTGGTGATGAGGCGGTTGGACTCCAAGTCCAGCACGGCCCAGCCCTTGCTCGCAGCTGACACACCCAAGTGCAACCCCCAGCGAGCCTTAGGCGCCAGCTTCCCCCCACGCTGCGACTGTGGTACCATGTACTGCAGCATGCAGCCCCAAACACGCACCATACTGACATCAGGTTTGCGTCGGAAGGCGAGCTCGTACGGCGTCACACCAGAGGGTAGTGAGGCGTGCTCCACGCGGTTGCGCACCCAGACGGCCTGAGCCAACGCCAGGTGCCACCAGTGATGCTGCACACCCATGTGCAGCAACATCGTCCGCACCGCCTCCACAATGCTGCGCATCTCCCTCTCGGCCATCCCGTTCTGCTCCGGCGTGTACGGGCATGTGAGGTCATGGATGATGCCTTTACCGTCGAGGAAGAGCGTGAAATCGTGCCCCAGGAACACGCCACCCCGATCAGTGCGCAGCGCCTGCACCGTGGTCTTGCACTGTCGCTCTGCCATCGGGAGCCACTTCTGGAACGCCGCCAGCGCATCACTCTTCTGGGCCAAAGGGTAGGCCCAGACATATCGCGTCTTGCGATCCTTCAGCACCAAGAAGTAGCGGCTGCCGTCCTTAGCTGCTTCACGGAAAGGGCCACACAGGTCAGCATGCACCACCCCGAGCAACTCATCCTCCTCCTCTCCCACAGAAGGAAAGGTATGACGAGTGATCTTTCCCCCAACACAGGAGACACAAGGTATGCCTGACTTGCCCCCCTTCTCCAAATCCAAGCCCTTCACTGACCCGTGAGCCGCTGTGCGCTCGATGGCATCAATACCAACGTGTGCCATACGCGCATGCCACAGGTCCCCCTTAGACCGTACGCCGGTCGCCAAGGTACGAAGTGCCACCGTTTCGCCTTCCTGCTGCTGCGTCGAACACGGCTGGAAGTTCGTGCAGAGAACACGCCCCTTGAACTCCGCACGACCAAGGAGCGATCCATCTGGTGCCCGCAGCAAAGTCACATCCCCGGCATCCAGCAGCTGCACACCACTATCACGCAGCTGCCCAGCAGAGAGAAGACTCGCCTGCACTCCTGGTACGTACAGCACGTCCGGCACCAAGACACGCCTGCCCCCCTCCCCAAGAAGAGCGACTGTGCCTCGCCCCTGCACCTCCTAAAGGGCGCCGTTGAAGCCGGTAACCTGCTTAATGCTGCCGCCGCTGCTCATCTCCACAAAGGCAGAACGATCTCCCATGAGATGGTGGGAGCATCCGCTATCAAGCAGCACGACGCTCGGGTTCGCCTTCACAGCAGCTGCAACAGCCTGTAAGCCCTCCCCGGCCTCAGGCTCTAGCACAACGAGAGGAGTCTGCTCCACAACTGGCTTCACCATCGCACATGATGACTGCCCGCTCCCCTTAGAGCCATCACCCCCCTTTCCGCTGCTACCTCCAGAACCCTCTCCACCGGTGTCTGCCTCCTTATCCGCCCGCTGCTGACAGTACTTAGCAACATGCCCTATTTGTCCACACACATAGCACTTCCCCTTGAAGCCCCCTTTCCCCCCCTTCGGCTGGCCATCCTTACCCCCTTTCCACTTCTCCCCTCCCCCACCAAGCCCACCCCCATTCTTAGGCTGCTGCTGCTGTGCCGTAGTGGGAGGGGAAGGGAATGAAGTCTGCTGGAATTGGGGCTTACCCTTCTTGGTAAAGACCTGGTTAGCCTGGGGAAGAAATTGGTCCTTTCGTCCCTCTGCCGCCAGCGTACACTCCTCCTCGATGATGTAGCGAGGGTGTCCTCGTCCAACTCCTTGCGAACCTGCGGCAACTTCAGCATCCTGCGTAAGAGGTTGTACTGCTGCGGCAACCCCTTCACAACGTGAGTGATGTACGACGCCTGCGAGTAATCTACGCCGGCCATCCTCAGGTTCACTAGGATCTGCTGCGCACGGTTGCAATAGGACGTAGCGGACTCGTGCTCTCCCATCTCGAGGTTAGTGAGCGCCTGCTCTAACTGACCGATGTACAGATCGTCCTTCGCCATGTACGTGCGCATAATAAACTGCCATGCCTGATAGCCGGCATCGACCTTCATGCGACACGCCTTAAGGGCGATCTGTACGGTTGGGGAGCAGCATCGGGAAATGGTGGTGAATGTCAGCAACTGCATCGCGCGGAACTGAGAGAGATGCGCAAGCGCACGCGCTGGTGGAATGGGGGTGGTGCCATCTATGAATCGCTTTAGCTGAGCGATCTCAAGCTGCGGCTCGATTGATTCTGTCCACGTCGACAGGTCGTGACGTCCTTCTAACGGCCTAGTGACAACGATCTTGTCTGGAGTGAATCTGAAGTAGCCATAGTTGGGGGCTATTCCCTCGTCCCTCGACATCGATCCAATCGGGGTAACGCCCGGCATAGCCTCACTATCGAACTCTTTCGCAATTCCTCCTCTAGCAACGCTCCGCCGTCCTACATTCGCATGCTCTCGTGACGCTGCTGCACGATGAACACGCTCCTGTACACCGCCAACGCTAGCCGTACTAAACCGAGTTGGTCCTCGCAGGACCCCACGCGACATCAACCCATCAAACTCCTCGTCATCGCTATTTCCGCCATCGACAGCCATATCCCACGCACTAGTACCTCCCGCAACTTGCTCAACATTCTCTACACGTGGCGAAGGGTGCTCACGACGCCGACGCGAGCGCAATCCCTCCAACATTAGCTCGTATTCGATATCACTAATCTCACCACGAGAATGACGAGCCACGAGATCCTCCTCTAGGGCGCGCAAATTACCGGCCTCCACGTTCGCCTCCTCTGTACTCATCCTCTACGACGTCTCTATAAGGTACCACAAATTAAAATAAAGTGCCCCTTCCTTAAATCCCTCGTCTCGGGGTCACCTCACAAGGGTCCTCAGACGAGTGGTAATAAATTACCAAACGCCCTATCCTTGGGTCCGAGAACGTAACTGGAGGGAAATCAAGAGAGGTTCAACTTAGATTAATAAGCGCCCTTCACTAACGCCGCACGCCAAGGCGAGTATACGAACGCGAATATCAACGACGACGGAAATCTATGCGTGTTCGTTCCACGCTCACCGCACCATGAAGGAATATATTAGAGAGCGTAGCGATAGCGAGAGAGTCTCTGCTATGGGAATGATGTTGCGCCAGCAACTTGGTAGAGTTTTGGTAGCGTTTGCCTCTAAGGACTTTGTAAGAATTGAAGTAGCATTTGGGCCAAGTAGAATTGCAATATCAATTATCAAACACACAAGCAAACACAAACATATATAGGCAAGCAAGAGTTGCACAATTGTTGCGTGGCGCTGCGAGTAACCCAACCCACACGAAAGTGCTGTGCAGGTGGGTGAACGCGCCCCGCACATTTCCAACCCAACTCGGCACCGGAATGTCTCACCGTGCACGCTACTCCTGCCAACACAGCAAGTGAGCAGCGTGCCTCACAAGCAAGGCACCTACGACCCCCAAGACTCGTCATTCCTAGCACCGATTCCGCCGAGTTCGCTGCAGTAGCTCACAGTCACCCGTAGTCACTAATGACCGCCACCGAACTCGTGCGTCGGTGCCGAGTAGACTCAGTCGTTAGGCGCCGACCTGCCAAGTCAAAGGTCATCGAGGGCCCTTGCTGTCGTAGGGCCCTCTAACAACTGGGATGGCTGGATTGACTGGCAACTTGACTGCTGGCATGGCCGCTACAGCTGGTATGGCCGCTACAGCCGGCATGGCCGCTACAGCCGGCGTAGCTGGCGGCATGGCCGGCAGCATGGCTCCGTACAGTGCGCCGAGTCGCATGCTCGACGCGGGCGCGCGGGGGCTGGGCGCATTCGGCCTGGCGGAAGAGCCAAGCCACCTCTGTGTGGGGGGGGACAGAGTCGCGCTGTTGCGCCATTCTGCCGTGGGCGCGGGGGCGGTTGGGGCGGCGGGGAACAACACGGTGGAGCTGGGCGCGTTCGGGCTGTCGGAGGAGCTGAGCCAACTGCGGCGCGACCGCGGGGTGCTGATGCGCGAGCTGCTGCACTCGCGGCAGCAGGCGGCGGCGAGCGCGGAGAAGCTCGCGCTGCTGGAAGCGAACATGGCGGCGCAGGAGCAGCGCCAGGCGCACATGACGGCGTTTCTCGCGGGGATCGCGCAGCTGCAGGGGCAGCACGCGCTGCTCCGCGCCAGCCGCGACAGCAGCAGCAGCGGAAGCGGGAGCGCGGGGAACGGGGGACTCGGCGGACTCGGCGGAATCGGCGGAATCGGGGGAATCGGCGGGAGTAACGGGATCGGGGGAAGCGGGGGAAACGGGGTAGGCGCGGGGAAGGGGAGTCCGAAAAGAAGCAGTATCAGCCCGAGCGGGAGCAGCAGCAGCGGGCGGGGGAGTAGGAGTGGGAGCAGGAGCGGGCAGGATGTGAGTGTGAATGGGAGTAGCAGCCACGGGGGTTCTTGTATCGGTGCTGGGGTTGGAGGAGGAGAGCGAGGGAGTCCAGAGTGGTTGAGAGCGGTTACTGCTGGGATGGGCGCGGCTGGTCTCGGTGCCCCTGGTTTTGCCGCCGCTGCTGCTGCTGCAGCCGCTGCCGCTGCCGCTGCTACAGCTGGTGCTGGTGGTGCTGCTGGTGGTAATGCTAGCAATGGAGCGGTTGGGATGGATGTGGATGGGTGCACGGACCTGGGCAACACCCACAAGCGAGGGTTTGACAACGGAAACACTGGTTTCCCCCAAAACGGTATGGGAGCCGCTGCAGGCACGGAAATGGGCATGAATTCAGGCAACGGGGTTCGAGGCATGGGAGGTATGGGAGGGATGGGAGGGATGGGAGAGGTGGAAGAATTGGGGGTGTTGGAGATTACGTGTGTTGGAAGCAAGGTGGTGGTGGGGCGTTTGTATGCCCCCAACCCACCGAATGTGTGACTTGTGCTCACCTTCGAGTGAGTTGCAGGTTTGCGTGGGGTTGAGGATTGACTTCGGAAGACCCATTCGATTCGGTGCCACATGGCAGCACCAGGAACATTCGAGACCCAAGGAGAATTCGGATCGGTGAAATTCGAGAGTCGAATTTCACCCTTTCGATGTTACTCGAACATTCGCGAGTGTAACGGTTCGAGGTTACTTGTGCGATTCGATCTTGTTTGCATGCTATAAATCTGTTTTCTTTGTATTGCATGCAATCATAGTGAAACTCAGAGTTCTTTGTACAAGGTACATTCGAACACAAATTCCAGAGAGCTTCTTTACTTGCATTCAAGAGCACCACCTAGCACGTGAACGCCTATATCTCGGAGAATACTTAGGCGATCGACGTGTTTGACGGCTTGTTGGAAAGCTAAGACAGAGCTCTATCGTTTAGAACAACTCCCAGTTCCTCCAAAGTAGAGGAGAGTCCTCTACAACAGTGGTATCAGAGCTGGTCGGAGGAGTCTACGCGCGCGACAAGGAGCACGCATGATGACTTCAAGCGAGGCCTCCCGCACTTCCTTGGATGGTGTCGTTGTAAATTCCGGCGAACCCTGGGCAACCGCGACGATGTTCGACACGTCGGCGGTACCGATTTTCACGGGACAAAACTACTCCGCGTGGAAGTTTAAGTTCCAAGTGCTCATGATGGAGCGGGGACTTTGGGGTTTCTTCGATGGAACGGAGAAGAAGCCGGACGATGAGAGCGGCATCGCGGCATGGAAGAAGAAGGACCAAAAGGCGTTCGCTACGTTGATTTCGCGCATCGGCATCAATCTCGTGAGCTCGGTGCGCATGTGCATCAAGCTCGAAGCGTCGGCGCATGAAGCGTGGAAGCGGCTCGAGACCATCCACGTGAACAAGACTCTCCACGGCAAGATCCTAGCCCGGAATGCGTTCTACACGGTGAAGATGCGCGCGGGCGAATCGATGCACGAGTTTGCGACTCGTGTGGAGGAACTCGGGGAAACGTTCATGGACCTCGGTGGAACGGTCACGGAGGAGGATTGGATTCTCACCTTGCTTTGCGGCCTTCCGGAAGAGTGGTCGACGGTGATTACGACACTCGATAGCGTGCAAGACACTTGGACGAAGGAAATGGTGGTTGGTCGGCTTCTCCATGAAGAATCGCGTCGCCGACAATTCGCTAATGAGAGCGAGGGTGCCGCCATGTACTCCGGAGGGAGTTCCGGAAAGAAGTCCAAGTGGAGCAAGGACGCAACGAAGGAATCGTCCGGTGGGAGCGAGCATCGCGGCAAGTGTCACTATTGCCGCAAACCGGGACACTTTTGGCGTGAGTGTCGAAAGCGGCCGAGCGATTGGACTCCATCGATGGCGCGGGACCAAGAGGGCAACGCGCACACGGCATCCGGCGAGGCCGATGATTCAAAGGAGTCGCTCGTGTTAGTGGCCGGCAACGGGAACAAAACTCCAAGCGACGCGTGGTTCCTCGATACCGGCGCAACGCAACACATGACGCACCCGGCGTCGCTCCTCAACAACATTGGCGCTCCGGGAGACGTCACGAGCATCGTGTTCGGAAACAACGAATCGCTACCGGTGGTCGGAGTTGGGAGTACGCGCCTCATCGTCGATAGCGGTCCGGTGGACGTGACGAACGTGTTTCACGTCCCGGGGGTGAAGGTGAACCTTCTATCCGTCCCGCAACTTGCGAAGAAGGGAGTGATCGCCACGATCGACGGCGCGAACATGAACCTTTTTTGGAAGAGGAAGCAATTCGCACAAGGCGTTCTCAACGGAGAACTCTACCAACTCAAGACGCACCCGGGAGCGGCTTCATCCAACGTGGCGCAAGGTTCCAAGGCGACTCTCAAGGCGTGGCATAATCGACTTGCGCACGCCAACTACGACTCGGTCAAGGAGTTAGCCAACAAAGGACTCGCGAAGGGAGTCGACGTGATCGCCGGCGACGACGAGAAGGGCGTGTGCGCGGCGTGTGTCGAAGGAAAAATGGCTCGCAAGCCATTTGGGAGCCGAACGTCACCCCTCGCTAAGGACCCGCTTGCGCTTGTTCACATGGACGTGTGTGGACCGATGCGGCATGCATCAAAGGGAGGAGCGCGGTTCCTCTTGGTAATGCTCGACGATGCGACGCGGATGTGTTGGAACCGACTTTTGAAGGCTAAGGGAGATGCGGCCAAGGCGATTCAAAAGTGGGCGCTCGAAGTTTGCGACGATGACAAGAAGCGGATCAAGTGTATTCGCACCGATGGTGGTGGCGAATTCGTGAATGCGGAGCTCTAGAAATGGATGAAGTGCAAGGGCATTAAGCACGACGTCACAACACCCTACACACCCCAACAAAATGGAGCGACGGAGCGGCTTAATCGCACGTTGGTGGAAGCCGTTCGTTCTCTTCTTCAACACTCCAAGCTTGGGAAAGAGTGGTGGGGCGAGGCGAGTTCGCTAGCGGCGTGGATTCGCAACCGTTTGCCGACGAAGGTGCTCCCGGGAATGACTCCGTTCGAAGCATGGACCGGAACGAAGCCGAACCTATCCCGCCTTCGCACCTTTGGGTGCCTTTGCTACTACCATGTACCGGATCCCCTTTGCCACAAGTTGCAACCGAAGGCTCGTGCGGCGATCTACTTGGGAATTGCGGCGAACGAGCGTGCGTGGCGAGTGTGGGACTTGGGCGACAAGTGCGTCGTCACGTCTCGGGACGTGGTCTTCGATGAAGACAAGTTCCCGTCGAAGGAGAAACCCACTCAACAACTCACCTTCATCCTTCCGCCACGAGAGGAGGTTGAAGAGAGTGAGACTCCACCTCAAGTGGAGAAGGAAGCCGATGGAGGTGGGAGCGAACAACGAGGAGAGCATTGATGATGTCGTGGAGGTGTCACCAACTGAGGCGGCAACTACCTCCACACCTTCCTCCCTACCATTGGCCTTGACCCGCGAGCGTCGTGAGGTTCGTCCTCCCTCCAAGTACAACGACTACGCTACGGTAGCCGTTGGGGAGACGGATAAGGAGGGCGCGGCATTTTGCTTCGCAACCAAGGGTGATGATGAACACGCGAAATCTCTCATGGAACCACCCCCTAAAGATTCATCCCGTGCATGCTATGAGCATGTTGGTTTGCACACCTAGTGGGTTGGGTGCAAGGGGGAGTGTTGGAGATTACGTGTGTTGGAAGCAAGGTGGTGGTGGGGCGTTTGTATGCCCCCAACCCACCGAATGTGTGACTTGTGCTCACCTTCGAGTGAGTTGCAGGTTTGCGTGGGGTTGAGGATTGACTTCGGAAAACCCATTCGATTCGGTGCCACATGGCAGCACCAGGAACATTCGAGACCCAAGGAGAATTCGGATCGGTGAAATTCGAGAGTCGAATTTCACCCTTTCGATGTTACTCGAACATTCGCGAGTGTAGCGGTTCGAGGTTACTTGTGCGATTCGATCTTGTTTGCATGCTATAAATCTGTTTTCTTTGTATTGCATGCAATCATAGTGAAACTCAGAGTTCTTTGTACAAGGTACATTCGAACACAAATTCCAGAGAGCTTCTTTACTTGCATTCAAGAGCACCACCTAGCACGTGAACGCCTATATCTCGGAGAATACTTAGGCGATCGACGTGTTTGACGGCTTGTTGGAAAGCTAAGACAGAGCTCTATCGTTTAGAACAACTCCCAGTTCCTGCAAAGTAGAGGAGAGTCCTCTACAACAGGGGGCAATGAGAGGGATCGGAGGAGTGGGAGATGGTGTGGGTGTGCGTGGTGCGAGAATGAACCTGTTTCCCCCGCACGGCAGCAAGGAGCAGGCAGCAGCAGCAGCAGGAGCAGGGGCAGGAGGAGGGGGAGGAGGGGGAGGGGTGTATTTTGTGAGTGGGGCGGGCAACATGGGCATGCACTCGCAGATATTCTTCAAGCGCCACAAGAACAGCAGCGGCACCAGTGCTGGGGCCAGCACGGGTGTTGCTGGTGGTGCCAGTGCTGGTGGTGGTGGTGGTGGTGGGGAGGAGGGGACTGGGTTTGGAAGTGGCAGCAGCAGCATGGGCGCTGCTTCTGCGTTTGACCATGGCAGTGCGGAACCTTCCAGAAGCTTTCTCCCTGGGCTTTCGGGCAACGACCTTCATCACCTCTTCCCACCCCCTGCTGCTTCTGCTAGTAAGGCTGCTGCTTCTGCTGTTGCAGCTGCTGCTGCTGGTTCTGCTGCTGCTGTTGCAACTGCTGCTGCATCTGCCTCTGCTGCCGCCGCTGAGAAGGCCGCTGCTAACAGCAACAACTTGAGCACTCAGCAGCAGCAGGAGCAGGGCGAGCAGACTCACGGTCCGGACGCCGCTTATGACGAGTACGGGCCACTGACCAACCCGTTCGGCCGCCCGCCGTCGCCCGGATTCACCATGGAGAGATTCGACGTGCTGGGCGGGCAGCTGGTGTCGTATCTGACCCCCAGGGGCGCTGCTGCTGCCAGTGCTGCCGTGGCTGCTGCTTCAAGCCCCCTCGGCGGAACCCTCGGGGGATCCCTTGCAGGGGGGTTTTCAGGGCAGTTTGGGGGCCCCCTTACAAGGCAGCTTACAGGCTCCTCCCTTGGTGGGCCCAGTGCGGAGCAGCTTGCAGGGGCGTTTGCCGGGGCGTTTGGAGGGGTGGCAGGAGCAGAGGGAGTGTATGATAGCGTATTTGGTGAGGGTAATGGCGGGAGTCTGAACATGGATGGCACTGGTGCAGGCCTGAGCGGTGGAGGTATTTGGGGGAGATTTGACGGGGCCCAGAGAATGGGTGGAGCAGAGAAGATGTATGAGCGGATGTTTGGGGCCGGTGCTGGTGGTGCTGGTGGTGCAGCTGATATAATCACCAGAGGGGCAGCAGCAGCTGCAACAGCTGCGGCGGTGAGAAGGGAGCAGTTGCAGCAGCTGCAGCTGCAGCAGCAGAGGGAGGAGCAGCAGCAGCTGCAGCAGCTTCTGTTGTTGCAGCAGCAGGAGGAGCAGCTTTTGCTGCTGGAACAGGAAAGGCTTGGGCTAGTGGTTCTTCCCGCCTCTGTAGCCGCATCAGCACTGGGAACAGCACGAACAGCAGCAGCAGCAGCAGCAGCAGCAACAGCAGCGGCAACAGCAGCACAAACGGCTGCGGCAACAGCGGCAGCGACAGCAGCAGCAACAGCGGCCGCATCAAGCATGGGTGTTGGACTGAAAGAGAGGCTGTTGGGTGCTGGAAATGGTGGGGGGTGGAGAGGAGAAACAGCAGCAGCAACAGCAGCAGCGACAGTGGCAGCAACAATGGCAGCAGCGAGAGCAGCAGTGGCTGGGGAGATGAGAGCAGAGGAGATGCGAGCTGTGGCAGCATCAGCTCAGATAAGGGCATCAGCTGCAGCATCAGCAGCAGCTGCAGCATCAGCAGCAGCAGCAGCGTCTGGTGTCACCAGTGCAACAACCAGAGCAGCAGTAGATCCGGCTGTGGCGACAGCAGCAGCACTGGCACATTTAAGGCCAGCAGAAATTACTTCATTGGAGATGAGAGCAGCACAGCTAAGAGCAGCGGAGTTAAGAGCTGCAGAGTCAAGAGCAGCAGAGATAAGAGCAGCAGAGCTAAGGGCAGCCGAGCTAAGAGCAGTGGCAGCGGCAGCTGGTGCTGCTGCTTCTGCTGGCACCTCAACCCTTCCTGTCCTTGCAGCATCCAGTGCAGCATCAAGCGTCCCTGCCCTAGCTGCATCACTAGCAGCATCACTGGCAGCGTCAAACGCGGCAGCTGCTTCAGCAGCAGCGGTGGGGACGGGCATGGGCACGAGTATGGGCGCAGCAGCAGCGTTGGCAGGAGGTTTCCTTGCAGGAACAGCTGCCCTGGGATTGACAGGAGGAGGCTCGGCAGTAGGAGGTTTGGCAGTAGGAACGTCAGGCCTGTCAGGCTTGTCTAGCGGATTATCTGCGGTGCGGAGTCTGGGTGCGTCTGTAACTCCCTCCCTGTTATCACCCCCTGGGTTGCCACCACTCGTGCCTCCCGTGCTGCCATCAACTGCAGCAGCAGCAGCAACAGGTTCTATGTCCGCTGCTGCTGCTCTGTCTGCTTCTGCTCGCAAAACCGATCTGGCACGTGCAGCAGCAGCAGCTGCAGCTGCGTTTTCCTCCCCGCTAATGGGCACAGGAGCCGCACTCACTGCCTCTGCTTCTGCCGCTTCCTCTGCCGCTGCTTCTGCTGTTTTGGAGGCGCCTGTAGTGGGATCGTCAGGAGCTGCATTCACTGCAACGGCTGCTGCAGCAGCACTGGCGTCAGCTGGTATCCCCACCTGCCACATTCCCTTCCCCATGTCTGTGCCCCTCCCACTTCCAATAGCACGCCTGCCCGCCTCCCTTTCCCCCCCTCTCTCCAACTCCTTCCCTCTTTTCGACTCCTCCCCTCTCTCGCGTTCCTCCCCTCTCTCCACCTCGTTCCCTCTCTCTCACGCCACCCCTCTCTGGCGCTCCTCTCCTCTCTCAGACTCTCACTCCGCCCCCATCTCACTGTCAACTTCAGCAGCAGCAGTGGCAACGGTGGCAGCGGCGGCAGCGGCAGCAGCATCAGCGGGAGTAACATCAGCCTCTGGGGGGAAACCGAGCCTTACCTCTTCCTTAGCGCCAAATCTCCCTGCCTCCTCCCCAATCAATCCTATCAGCCCCATCCGCCATATAAGCCGTCCCATAGGCCCTCCTATAAGTCCCCTCACGGGACACATCCGCCCTATAAGCCTTCTCGGTTCCACAGACCAAAATTCGCTACTGACATCTCTTCCACCCCACTCTGTGTCTCCGTCTCTGCACCTTTCATCTGCTTCCCTTCTTTCCTCCTCTCTCCTCGCCTCCTCCCACCTCTCCTCTTCCCACCTCTCCTCCTCCCATCTCGCCTCCTCCCACCTCTCCGCCTCCTTCCTCTCCTCCGCAGCCCTCTCTCTCTCTCCAGCAGAGCTCTTTGCTGCCGAGGCAGCTCACTGCACCGCCACTGCCATGCCTCCTCCCTCTATACCCGCTCCCTCTATCCCCGCTCGCCTATCTGCCGTGAATGTTAACCAGCGTCCTGCTCTCGCAGCCTTTACCTCCACCCTCGCCCCTCCCCACCCGTGCCCTCGCAGTCCGCCCCCTCTTGCTGGGGCTTTGCTGTCTGGCATGGCTCCCGCTCTACCCCCCGCTCTTGCTCCCGCTCTACCTCCCACTCTTGCTCCCGCCCTTGCTGCTTCGACCCTTGCTGCTTCAACCCTCGCTGCTTCGAGCCTTGCTGCTTCAACCTTCACTGCTTCGAGCCTTGCTGCCTCGACCCTCGCCCCTGTGATAGCTGCAACACCAATCCCTTTGGACTCACTTCCTGCAGCCATGTCGGTTACAGCTGCTGCAGCTGCTCCTATTGCTACAGACGCTACAGCTGCTACAGCTGCTACAGCTGCTACAGCTGCTACAGCTGCTACAGCCAGCTCGTTTGATGACATTGCTCTAGCAGGTAGAGCCGCTACAGCTGCCGCCCTGGCTGCTACAGCCGCGAGCATGGGTATGGGTGCTATGGGTGCTACAGCTGCAAGCATGGGTATGGGTGCTATGGGTGCTACAGCTGCAAGCATGGGTATGGGTGTTACAGCTGCGAGCATGGGTATGGGTGCCACAGCTGCGAGCATGGGTATGAGTGCCACAGCTGCGAGCATGGGAATGAGTCACAGTGCGTCTGCGGTGTTCAGAGGAGAGGGGGAGGCTGACGATGAGGCGTTTTGGCAGCAGCTGCTGAGTGAAGGGGGGCAGTGAGAGCAGTGGGGAGGAGCAGTGAGAACAGTGGGTAGAAGTGGAGGAGAGGGGGTCCGGAGGGGAGGGGAGGAGGAGGAGGGGAGGGGAACAGGAGAAGAGAGGGCGATAAGGGGAGGGGCCATGTAAAATGCCTGCTATAACCCTCATTCGTTTGTTCTAGTTTCAGATTCTGTTGCCAGTGTAGTGCCCCTGCCTCCACCTGCCTCCACATCTGCATGTGTAGACCTTCTATACGTGTGTCCCTCCCGTGTGCTTGTGAATTTTGGGTGTAGATTCTACGTGATTTTGATTTGTGGCTCGGCATCCTCTGCTTCAGGATGCCTTGATAGTTCACTCCTCAGTAGCTCAAAATTTGTAACGATTATCCATATTAGCTCCTGGTATCCATAGTAGCTCCTGGTATATTATCCATATGCCTTGATAGTTCACTCCTCTTTGCTTCTAGTCTGACAAATGGCATTGGAAGCCCCTGCCGTCGTCTGTACCGTACTTTAGTAAGCCTACATAAGGAGAAATTTTGTTTCTATTTTGCAGATGTAGCGGACATATGGTATTGTTGGCATACTTGAAAAGGTAAATGGTGCTTAATCAGCAGCACAAGCACATGATATAAGGTATTTGAGCAGCAATGCCCTGAGAAGGGGCAACAACGGACAACCTATTTACTAGTACGGTATGCAGGCACGAACGGACAAGCTACTTTGTTGATTTGTGTGCGCTGCTTTATTCTCAGAAGTATATCCCAGCCTCTACTGGACGGCGACTGCAGCAGCCTCCTCTTCCAAACCGTCCGATCCTTCCGGCAAAATCTCTTCCGCCGTCGGCCCCTCTTCCAAAGTCCTCGTGGTGGCACCGTCAGCATCAGCAGCACCCTCACTTTCGCCCTCGTTCTCGCTGACAGGGCTGCTCTCGTTCGCTATGCTCCCAGATTCGGAATCTTGAGTGTCGGTATTCGAATCTGCAGTTTGCTCCGTCTCCGTATCTGCTGCCTCCGTGGACTGAGACTCTATTGTTCCAGCTTCCGCTGTCGCAGAAGTCTCCGTCTCAGGACTCCCCGTTTCGGAATTCCCCGTTTTAGGGCTCTCCGTTTCAGAGCCCTCTGCGGGAGCAATCACTGTTTCACCCTCTGCCGGGCTCTCGCTGCCGTCTGAGCTCACCGCGTCGCCTTCCGCTGCAGGCTCCGCGTCCGCTGCTACAGCCGTCTCGGTGTCAGCGTCCGCGGCCGCGGCTACAGCTGCTGCCGCCTCAGCAGCAGCGGCAGCGGCTTCCTCCGCCGCCGCCTCCACCTCCGCCGCGATGTCCTGCCCTTCCGCGCTTTCCTCCGACGCCTCCGACGCCTTATCCTCCGCCTTCTCCTCAGCCTTCTCCTCCGCCTTATCCTCCGCCTTATCCTCCGCCTTATCCTCCGACGCCTCATTTGCCGCCCTCTCCGGTGCCTCGTCCGCCTTCTCTTCCGCAATGACTTCTTTCGCAAAAATCACAACCGTATTCTGCCCCGCTACAGCCACATTGTCGCGTTCCTCCCCGTCGCCACCTGCATCCGCGCCTTCTGCTACAACCGTAGGATTATCCTCTGCTACAGCCGAGGAATTCTCTTCCGTTGGAAGTTCCGACGAGTCTTCACTAAAAGTCACGACGCTGTTTTGCCCCGCTATAACCACGTTCATGTTGTCTTCTCCCGTTTCCAAAACCCCGTCCTCGCTCCAACCTTCCGATTCGGGGCCATTTGAGAGACGAAGCGCCTCATCCGCCGCCTCTGCCGCCGCCGCCGCCGCCGCCGCTGCCGCGGCGCCGTCGCCGCTCGTGGCGCTCAAGTTGTTGTCGTCGTCGTCCCACGCCGAAAGAGCCGTTGAGACAGATTCTGGGACGCGGATTCCTGTGTCCGGTCGGAGTTCGTCCAAACCAAGCGGCTCGGCGGATTCTGAACGCGACGACTCTTGTGTCGGCGGGTCGTGCGGCGAGGTTACTGCCCGCCACGGGCGCGATGCGTGGGAGAAAAACGGAGAGGAGAGAAGACAGAGCAAAAAAACCGCTTGAATTCTGACGTCCATTATAGTTAGCTGGGTCCACGTGTGTAGGGTTCTAAACGGTAGGCACAAGTGGCTGGGAGCCCACAATTTGTATGGCTCACAATTTCAAGCTGTTTAGATTATCACCGAAGAGGTGGTGAACGAAAACACATGGATGGAAGGGTACTAATGGACAGGCTGCTGTGTAGGAACTGTTGACCGAACCGCGCCAACTCTCCAAACCTTGGGTTTGTGCAATTCGACAGGTGGATTTCGTGGGTTTGTGTGGGGGCATGTGTTGCGGAATCGCGTGGATGGTCCTGCTTCCTTTCCCCTCCCCCCCACTCATCCATGCGATAGGAGAGAGCCACCCTTGCAAATGTGCGGTTCGGCGAGTGAGGGATGACGTGTGGGCCACTGCCGAATCGCAGGACCACAAGGACTTAGCTGGAACATTGTGAAATTTCCTCCTTATAGAGCGCGAACAATTCTCCGACCACGTAGCACATGCTTTTGTGAGGATGTGAATGGCATTTGAAATTACAATTCTCTGACAGCAGCACTCATGTTGTCCTCGTGCCAATTAGGGAAGCCAAACTCTCCCCGTTTGCGAATAATCAACCTTAACGAACGAAATATCGCATGAAAAAACATTTTTGCCAATAATATACCCTAAACAAGGAATTTCCACATCAAGAATAAGGTCCATCGAACAGATTCTACGCCTAGTACTATTGTCGGTTTCTTGTTGTGGCCGCGTTAGATTAGCAGAAATAATTATAGTAGAGAAGTACAATATCAAGCTTGATTTACAAATGACACAAGGGCAGGTGAATGCTGCTTATTGGGCAAGCTGCCTCATTCACAAAGAGGCAACCACCGTGGGTCTCAGAAAGCGAGATGCAGCAACCTGTGCGACCAACATGAGTATCTCCAAACCAGCTGTTCCGCCAGCCAGATCCTTGGGAGCTCGTAGATTTGATCCAGCCCACAATCTTCCAGCAGCCCTGCGACTGTCACTATACGACGGCTAACAGGAGGGTCTTAATTGCTGCCCTCGCCGTTCACGACAACCAGCATGCCTTCCCGACGAGCAGGCACGTGATACGCATAAATCTTGTTGTCTGAACCGGGAAGGGAGACGTACGCCGTCGTAGTTGTCTCCTCCTGTGCTGCATCGCCAGTCCCAGCGGAAGCGGTGTTATCGGTGGGGTCGTAGACGACAGTTGAGGAAGATTCGACAGCGGACGCGGTGTTATCTGTAGGGTCGTCAATGATCGCCGTCGTCGCAGCAGACGCGGTGTTATCGCTGAAATCATCCACGATAACAGCAGCAGACGCGGCGGATGCGCCGACGGAAGCGGTATTATCGGTGGGGTCATCGAAGGTCACCGTTGTCGCAGCGCTGAGGTCAGCAACACCGGCAGCAGCAGACGCGGATGTGCGGACAGAGGCGGTGTTATCGGTAGGGTCGTCGATGACCGAAACCAGAGAGCCCTTTCTGCGCGGAAGGGCCAATGCGGCAATGACATTGTCGGAACCTGGCAGGGAGACGGACGCCGTCAAGAATCCGACGGAATTGCTGTTCACGTCAGTTGGGATCATTTCAGGGATAGCTGATGCGACGTTGTCGTTATCAGCGGCAGTCGAGACGATCTCGGTAGCTGGAAACAAGGGGACGGAGAAGGAAACATTGAACCGTAAGAAATAGGCGGCGTTTAGTATAAGAAATGCGGGAAATTGCATGGTAAGACAGCAATAAGAAGCAGAATAAGGCAGTACAGGGAGCGTCCTTACCTCCGGCAAGGCTGGCGGTGTTATCGTTGTCAGAAGCGGCCACTTCTGCCTCTGCCAACAGATTATTCGCCGCATCGTTCCCCGCCTCAACGTTAACGGCTTGCGCGGCATAGGGGTCGGAGGTCAGTAGCGCCGTGAAGAGCGGTCGGGCTCCGTGACATAAGGTCGTGGTTGCTAGAAGGGCGGCGAGCACGAGGATACGATTTCTAGCCATGGGGAAGCTGTGAAGATAGTTGCTGAGAGAATGGAGCGTTGAAATGGATGCTACAAGGTATAAGGGGAAAATCAAGGTGCAAGAAATTCAGTGTGCGGGTAAACTCACGGACAAATGAGACTCTGCTGGTTTGTGTGTCGGAGCTCTGTTCTCACTGCCAATTATGCTGGAAAAGGATGGGTTGCTGGGAATTGGAGAATTGGTGGGGCTCCCACTGGCGAACTGGGTGGGGCATGACAGGACCTGAGGCCTCGGCGAAAGCCAAACGCTTTGGCGAAATGTATTGGCGATGCTAAATACCACGCTGAGCAACCCATTCCAGGTCTCACGACACCTTGAACAAAGCATGTGGGAAATTGTGGGAATTGCTGGCGCGCCTCGGTGTTTTGAATGCGACCCGCATTTGCCAGCCTCCCCCCCACCGATTGTTGCAAGACCTCACACCCACCCCCAACGCGACGACATACGCTTTACAACAGATGAGACACACTTTACAAATGACACGCTTCACACAAAACAGCGCTACTTCGTTAAGAATGAACTGAAATGGTTTTCCAGGCATCTTGTCAAAATATATCAAACCACGCTTGTTTGGTCGCATAATAGCGGACCCAACCCAGCCTAACCGAGTATCATGCCTCGGTTTAGCGGCGTGTCTCACTCCCTCCCGTGTTTTTCCAAAACAAAGGCGATTCCTGTTGTCATTATTTCCCTGTTAGACTGCTGTATGCTGACGTTAGTAGGCCCATCCAGATCACTCAGTCGGCCCGTAATGGGCGCGCTACGCGCTTTAGTGTCGGGCGGCGGGTGTCGCCACGGCCTCAACCACGCCGCACCCTTACCGTCTCCCATGCCGCGTTCGTCGCTCCTTCCCGCCCTGCGAATGCTCTCCTATTCGCCCATTGCCCACACTACCACTACCCCCGACCTTCCCGCACGCGCCGCTTTTACGCCATCCTGGAGCCGCGGTCTCGTGTCGCCTGTGTCGACTTCCCCCTTTTTCCAGGGCTGCCAATCTCGAGGGCTCGCCGGAACTTTCCCACGTGGCTCGAAGGCCCCGCATGGAAGGCGAAAGGTCGCGAGTTCGAGTCCTGCAGACGGCCACCAAAAACGGTTAAATCCGAGGGCAGCGGCGGCTGGCGCTGCAGCGGAAGGTTTGGGAGAGGAAGGCGCAGAGGGAGTTGCGTTGAAGGTGCCAGGTATCTGCCCAGGCTGCGGCGTTTCCATGCAGAGCGAGGATCCGAAACTTCCCGGGTTTTTCGTCCTCCCTGCTGTGCTCGACCCCGCTAAATCCGCTGAGGTTCTGGGTTTCGAGGACGAGGAGGGGTTAGATGAAGAGGAGTTGGAAGAATTAGAGGGTTTAACGGAAGAAGAGGAGGAGGAAGCCGCGGGCAGGAAAAAAGTTGCCTTGTGGACCGAGTTTGACCTAAAGAATCGGGGCAGCCCGGGAAAACTTGTGGAGGCGATGCCTCCTCCCGTTGAGGTTGAGGTTGTTGATGACGTGGGCACGGGTTTTGAGGAGTTTGACTTGTATGATGATCTCGATGCTGACCTGGCAGCGGAGGCTTCCAGGAAAAGCGGCAGGAAGGGCGGCAGTGATTCGCGTGGTTATGGTGAGGAAGAGGAGGAGGAGGAGGGGGAAGAGGAAGAGGAGTTTGATGAGGAGGCGTGGGCAAAAGCTTGGGAGGAGCAGATGGAGAGAAACGGAGCAGACGAGCTTAAGGGAGGGTCGAGAGGGGCGACGAGGGGGAGGGGTTCAATTGGAGCAAGGGGAGCGACGGGAAGTGATGTGGATGGTGAGGAGGAGGAAGAGGGAGGGCAGGAGAAAGATGGAAAATTGGTGGTTTGTGCCAGGTGTCACGCGTTGAGGAACTACGGGCAGGTGAAAGACGAGAGCGTGGAAAATCTTCTGCCCGACTTTGATTTTGAGAGGGCCGTCGGGCAGCGTCTCCGGGCAGCTTACGGCCGTCGGGCAGTTGTGCTAGTGGTTGTGGACGCGGCAGATTTTGACGGGTCCTTCCCGCGCCGGGCAGCCGAACTTTTGGCCCGGGCAGAAGCTGAGGCGGCGGGCAAATGGAAGGAATCTCAGGCGGACGGCAAAGCAGCAGGCCCTCCGGGCGGCAGCAACACGTTTCGTCTCATCCTCGCGGCGAACAAAGCCGACCTGCTGCCGCCCCAAATCTCGCCGCTCCGATTGGAGCAGTGGATTCGCCGGCGGGCGAAAGCGGGCGGCCTGCCTCGTCTTACATCGCTGCATCTCCTATCGGCCAAGACAGGGTTTGGGGTGGGGTATCTGGCTTCTCAGCTAGGCACACTGGCAGGACCCAGAGGGGACGTATGGGTGGTTGGGGCTCAGAACGCAGGGAAATCCTCTCTGATTAACGCCCTTGCTGCTGCTGTGAAGACAGGGGGGAAGGGCGGGAAGGGCGGGGGGAAAGCAGGGATGACCGGGAAGGGAGCAGGAGGGAGGAGGGTCGGGAAGAAAGGAGGGAAAGGAGGAGGGGGAGGAAGGGGAGGTGTGGGGTTGACTGAGGCGTGGGTGCCTGGGACGACTATAGGGGTGGTGCCTATAGAGGGGGTGCTGGGGGGAAGGACGAGAGTGATGGACACGCCAGGGCTGCTGCACCCGCACCAGCTGTCAGTGCGGCTCAGCAGGGAGGAGCTGAAGGTGGTCGTGCCTAGGAAGGCGCTCAAACCCCGCACGTTCCGTATTAAGGTGAGAAGATGGGGCGGGGTTTCGGGTTTCGGGTTTAGAGTGAGAGTGATGGACACGCCAGGGCTGCTGCACCCGCAACAGCTGTCAGTGCGGCTCAGCAGGGAGGAGCTAAAGGTGGTCGTTCCTAGGAAGGCCCTCAAGCCCCGCACCTTCCGCATCAAGGTGAGTAATGTGGTTTGGGCGAAGAGATTCAGGGCTCTGGGGTTTAGGGCATACAGTGACAGGCACACCCCACCAACTGTCGGTGCGGCTGAGCAGGGGGGAGCTAAAGGTGGTCGTGCCTCGGAAGGCCCTCAAACCCCGCACGTTCCGCATCAAGGTGAGAAGATGGGGCGAGGTTTAGGGGTTTGGGGTTTAGAGTGAGAGTGATGGACACGCCAGGGCTGCTGCACCGGCACCAGCTTTGGGTGCGGCTGAGCAGGGAGGAGCTGAAGGTGGTCGTGCCTAGGAGCTGTAGTTTGCTTTGGGTGAGGCAGCAGCAGCAGGCTGCCCCCTCTGTTGTGCAGCCAGGGCAGTGCATTCTGCTGGGAGGCTTGGCCCGAGTGGACGTGGAGGAGGCAGCAGCAGAGTCGATCTATCTGACATTCCAACTTCCCCCCTCCCCCCCCCCATTCCATCTCTCCTTTGCAGCCAGGGCAGTGCGTGCTGCTGGGAGGACTCGCTCGGGTGGATGTGGAAGAGGCAGCAGCAGAGTCCATCTATCCGACAGTGTGGCTCTCGCCAATCATAGCGTCACGGGCACCCCCTCATTGCTCCTCTCGCCCGCCCCTGCCTGCCCGCCCCTGCCTGCCCGCTACGTCCACCCCTCCCTTTGCAGCCAGGGCAGTGCGTTCTGCTGGGAGGCTTGGCCCGGGTGGATGTGGAAGAGGCAGCAGCGGGGTCAATCTATCAGTATCTTCTCCCCCCCCTCTCCTTCTCCCATTTGCAGCCAGGGCAATGCATATTGTTGGGAGGCTTGGCGCGAGTGGATGTGGAGGAAGCAGCGGCGGAGTCCATTTATCTGACAGTGTGGCTCTCGCCAATGATAGCGTGCCACATGGGCAAGATCGCCAACGCGCCTGCTGTGCTGGAGAAGCACGTTGGGGTCAAGCTTCAGGTATGGCGATTGCAGGTTTGGTGGGTTCAGGTTCGGGGAGTGCAAGTTCGGTGAGTGCAGGTTCGATGGGTGCAGGTTCAGTCGAGGTGCAGGTTTGTTGAGTGCAGGTTCGGTGGTTGCAGGTTCGGTGAGTGCAGGTTCAGTGGTTTTACATTTGGTGGTTTCACGTTCGATGGCTGCATGTATAATGGTATTCTGAGTATTATTTCCCATTCTTCTGTGTACGCTGTTCCCGCACTTGAATCTGCATTTCTCCATATCACCAGTTCTGAATCAATCTCCTCTCTTTCGCTCTCATGTGCGTGCCCACCCTAGCGTTCTGTTTTATATTATTGCTATCTTCCTTCCCCATCTCCACCGCTCACATTTCCAACCCACCTCCATCTCGTCCTCACCCACACCCTCCAGCCGCCAGCAGAGGCATCTCGCATGGCAGATCTCGGAATGTGGTTACCATGTTCCGTTACAGTGGAGGGCACGAGATGGGACCACAGCAGCGCTGACTTGGCTATAGCCGGGCTCGGCTGGGTGGCCGTCGGAATCAAAGGCTCTGCAATCGAATAATAATTCTCTTTCCCACCCATCTCCACCTCTCCCTCTTCCATCTCCACCGCACTCAACCCATGTCCATCTCACCCTCTCCAACCCTCTCTCACCCAACCCTCCAGCCGCCAGCAGAGGCATCTCGCATGGCAGATCTCGGAATGTGGTTACCTCGTTCCGTTACAGTGGAGGGCACGCGGTGGGATCAGAGCAGCGCTGACGTGGCAGTAGCCGGGCTCGGCTGGGTGGCCGTGGGAATAAAAGGCTCGGCGAAGCTCAAAGTGTGGACGTTTGAAGGGGTGGGTGTGACTGTGAGGGAAGCCATGGTGTTTGATTATGCGCCTGTGTTTGAACGGCCTGGGTTTTCCACTGGTGGGTTGCCGGTTACCAGGGAGGAAGGAGGAAAGGGGGGCAGTGGCGGTGGTGGTGCGGTGGGGAGCGGTTCGGATGGGAAGAAGACGAAGAAGAAAACCAGAGGCGGCAGCAATAGGTCAAGGCCTGACGAGGTTGATGCAGTGGTGCTTTAGTGTGGAGTGGAGCGTTACACGGTAACATGTTGCGCATGTGTGTTATGTGCCCAACGGATGGATGGATGGATGGATGGACCCAAAGACGTCTAGAAGTTTGCCCTGGCAGGCACGGGACCAGCACGCTGTCGAATACAGTATTAGATGCAATGGATATATCTTAAGTCTTACAAAAGGCTGAACCATGTTGACGACTGAACTCCCACATCCCGTCGAGCTCCTTGATAAGATATTCACTTTCTGAGCGGGCACAGAAGCTGCACTGGTGCTAGGAGCTTACGGAACCAGTAATTACTGTAACCCTCATTTACAAGCGTTTTTCTGTTACCTACAAAATTATAGAAATGGCGCATATTGGTTTGACTTATTTTCTGTACAAAACATGCACATTTAGTTTCCACGTTTTCTACCCACGATGTAGACACTCAGCCTCGCTGGTCAAGATGCATGGGGTCCCATGAATCTGTGCATGCATCTTTCCATCAGAATTGTACATGATATAAAGCTACACTTTGAAATGAATATTCATGACAGCAGCCTATCCTAAGAATGAATGGAGATGTGCAAGGCAATCGTCTGCTTAACGATGGGTTGACAATGCCATGCCAAGTTTTAGGGTGCAAAGCTCTACTCTCAACCCAAACTCACTCCAATCCCACACAGTTGTGTCAGTGCACTCACACATCTGCACACAGAAGAGAGTAGGCTCCAATGTTCCTGCTGCCGATGCTGCACCCATAACCCATACCCAGCACAAGCAGCAGCAGCCACAGGAGAAACAGACTGCAAAAGCAGCAGCAGACGCAGCAGCAGCAACAGCAACTGCAGCGGCATCAGCAGCAGAGGCAGCAACACAAACCCCCAACACCAACACGCAACACCAACAACACACCAGCATCAGCGCCAGCACCAGCACCAGCCGTGTTCGTTCCCGGCCCACCAACCCACCCCAGCAGCCCCAACTTCCACTCTAGAGTGAGAACCCCACCAGCGCATAAGCAAACCCATCCCTCCACAGGCAACCCCATAGCTTCTGTCTGCAGCAGTGGGCGTGCTGCCCAATAATCAACCAGTATCATCACCGTTTTTATACCCACCACAATGCACAGGCCTACAGCAAGGCCCGTGCAATCGCCTAATCTCCCCCACTAGTCGACCCTCCGTAACAACCTCCCTTTGCACGCCCACCCTATCCCACCTGGGACCCAGCACAGCCCCAAACTGCTCCAGTGCCCTCAGATTTAACCGCCTCAAAGCCTGCCAGCAACAGCTCAGTGCCTCAGCTATCCCGACTTCTACAAATCGAGCAGGCCAGTGGCATGCCCCTTCTACTTGCTTGCTTCCCTGTTCCCACTGCTGCGCTCACTCCAGGCAAGCCAAATCGCCACAGTGCAGTGGAGAGCTAGTCGACCTTAAGGGGCCCTTCAGAAGCCGCATCTGATCCACCTTCAGGGGCTTCTCAGAAGCAGCAGAACCAGTAGAAGCAGCACCTAGTCGACCTTGAGGTGTAGCTTGAGGAAGTCGTATACCCAGTAGCTCAGTGCCGCGGATGGCAGCACCTGCAGAGATGGGAAGGTAACGAGAGGGAAGGACGGGTAAAGATTGTTGAGAAAACTGAGGGAATGTTGGGAGATGTTGGGGGGAAACGGTAAGGGAAAAAAGGAATCTGAAAAAAGGGAGCTCTTCAGCACATCCACGCAGGGTGTAACATCCTTTCACAACAATTTCAAGTTCTCTGTCAGATCAGCGCTCTTGAATTGAAGCTAGACTTGGCAGAGAATGAAGCAGACTTTCTCAAGCTGTGCACTTCTAAGCTCAGCAGCTGCGTAACTGCGCGGGACAGATGTAACTGAATCGGGAAACAGCTAGGGAAGCAGGACCTCCACGCTGTTGATTCTCTCAAAGCCTAAGCATCTCACGATTCTAGAGAACCGCAAAAACCTCACAACTATCTAGGGATACCTCGCGATTTTTGTCAGGGATAACTTCCTGGTTCACAGCGAACCACATTCCTCTCTTCTCCAGCTTCCACCATCTTACACCTATCTAGTATCACGGACATGGGTAGCTGCTTTTGTAAACCTCCTTCTTTCCTTCGAAGACCTTGTTGATTTTTCATTTTATTCACAGCTTCGATCGCAATAAGAACATACCTGAAGCAGGCCGGGAACCATTCCAGCGTAGAGCGCGGAGAACCCTCCTCTCTGCGCCACCTCTTTCAGCACCCGCATCGCTCCCGCCTGCCTCCCCGCCACCGCTACGGACCCCTCAATACCGCTCATCTGCATCTGCCGCCGAACCACCTCCAGAGGGTAGGTAGCGAACTCCGACACAACCCCTGCAATCGCCCCGTACAGCAGCGTCCGCATCGGACCCAGCTCCTTCCGAACCTCCGCTGCTTCTACCGCGTCCGTCTCTACCGCGGATACACCTGTCGCTTGCAATGCAGACCCGTCGGCTTTGGCCAACGAGGGAAGACCGGCTGATAGGGAGGCGGTTTGAGAGGAGGGGGTTCCTGGCAGGGCGAGTTTCCCGGAAGGCAGGAATGAGATCTTGTCTATCACTGGAAGCTTCGGCTTATCCTGGGATTGCAGATGCGTGGTTTTCATGAAATCGTAAGCGGCGTAGAAAATCGCACAGGATGGAGCGATACTGTAGACCGCCGGCCAGATGCCTCGATATAAGCCGAAAAAACCCTGCGTTCGGATCATCTCGCTTAGACAGCCGGCGAGATCGGTGCACGCGATGCCGCCTCGCGCGATCATCCTCGTCCGAACCTGAAGGAACCAGATCAGGGGAAGAAAGAAAAAGGCCAGCCTTGATTAAGCTTGGAAGCAGGGGATAGCTGAGCGGGTATAGGGAGGGTATGGGAGGCCTGAGGGGGTTTTCATCTTCAGGCTGATTAATTAAGTAAGGAGGCATTGATTCAGAATGGACTAAAAAGGAGATCCAACAGAGAACCGTGTAGTGTGTGATGTACTTTACCGGATCTGTGCTCCCCGCATCCCGTGAGAAGCAATGCTGAACCTACTACTAACTGATGCTTACCGTATCAAGCAAGTAACACTGCTAAACCTACTAACCGATGCTTACCGTATCCAGCGGGAAGCAGGCGAAGGTGGCGATGACGCCAGCAATAGCGCCGGCCGATAGCCGCTCGACATTATTGACGTCCGTCTTCTTGGACATATCCAGAATCTTTTGACGGAAAATGTCGTACATGACGAAATTGATGGTTTTAAACGGCACGATGCGCAGCAGATTAACGCCGTTGCCCCTCCAGAACCCCATCATGCCCTCGCGCGCGAATATCCGCCGGGTTAGCTCCGGCACGTGCGCTTTAGCCCCGCACACCATGTACTCTAGCTTCAGACGCTCCAAGGGAGCCACCGCAGATCTGAGAGAAGGGAAAACAAGGGAATTATGTGTTTTAGATTTGAGTTGAGACACGCCTGGTTGGCTCGGGCCGGCTAGAAATACCCGTATTTTTATATCGCGTACACCGTACATTCCAGCAGCTTGAGACGCTCGAGAGGAGCGATGGCGGATCAGGACTGGGGACGACGGCGAGCAAGGCGATGAATGCTCACGGGTAGATCACGCAACGGACAACGAGAAGTGAGCGACAGACACGAGACGTACCAGAATGAAAAACCTACTCCTCATGCTTAAGCAAGGCAAACCAGAAGCAGGACCGCAGATCATTAAGATCCATGGCGCGTTGGCAATGAGCACATGATCCGGCAAGCACCAGCCAGAATCAACCACGACATATCGAATCGCGCTCACCTAGCGACGACGGAGGCCGTGGCTCCGGCGAAGATGTGTTTGACCGTCTTCAACCCGCCGTCTTCCTGAAGCCGGCTCCACGCCCCCGCGATGTTCTCCCGGCATTCCTTCTGCGCGTTCCCCCACACCTCTCCCGCCCGTTGCACCACCGCATGGCTCTGAACCGCGACCCAGTTCCGCGCCTTCCGCAACTCGACCTCGGGCTTCCATCTTCTGTTCTGCGCGCCTCCAGACTTCGCATTCACGTTCGCAGCTTGGCGAGTCTTATTTGTCTCGCCGGTTTCCCCGACGGCCGATCGTGTAGCCGACCATCTGTCAATTCTGACGTCGGATATGGGCCGAGGTGGATCCAGCGGGACCACATCCATGCCCCAGCCGTCGACCACGTCGTCTAGAGGAAGAGGCGTGCGAAGCGGCATCGCCGCCGAGAAGCTCGCGTACTGCTTCCGCGCGTGGGGGGGAGTGACGCACGGCATGCGGAGACAGTGGAATAGGTGCGATGATTTGTTGGAATGCCGAAAACGCGTCGCCGAGTAACGAGATGAGGCTGACCGGACACCCGATCGTAACGTTTTCTTCTTTCAAAATGCAGAAGCGTATATATCTTTCACGACTGATTCGCTAGAGGGCAGGGGTTAAACGAGAGCAGCGAGTTGATCCAACCCATCGTCAATGGACCTTGACAACGCAAAGATCAGTTTGCTACTGACGGAGTCAAACAGAAGCACGATGGCAGCACGGCCAGCAGTCTCCCACGATGGTTCGCAAGTTTGGTAGAGAAAGGCACTGCTGGGAGGAATTCAGTAGAAATAATGGAGGCGCAGTTGTGATTGAGAAATGTCGCAAACGAGTGAAGGAACGATTTGAATCGAGATATCGGGCTGTGGGGAAGTTATGGTGGAAGGCTGCAGTGTGGCTGTGTGTGGGGGTGGGGAAGCTGTGTCGGGCCGGGCTGTGCTTGGACTGATCAGTCAGACCAGCGGGGAGGGGAGGTTGGAGCGAAAGGAAATGACTTGAGATTCGGTGGGGTGCGGGCGTCGATGATTGTGGCGTTGCGACAGTTGCGAAACGAGATCTGGCGAAATCGAAGGGTGCCCCTGAAAGAGAGAGCTGGAAGAGGTTTGTCTAGGGGGTACGGGCGAACCTCTGCGACAAGTATCGTAGTCACGACGTTACCGACCATGGATTCTTTTCGCGAGACGCCTATTGGGAACCAGTATCTTGCTAGCTAGGCATTGTCGGAGAATGGAATGCTGAATTGATTTTTGTGGAATGAACGGTGGTGACCAGAACTGGACCAGCCAACGAGAGCCCGCGAAAGCTACAGACCAACTGCGTCTTGGTAGGGGCGCTTTCTGGGGGTGGTCAAGCCAATGAGCACCACCGCGCGGAACGAGGAGCCAACCACACGCAACAAAAGAGGCGGTAGATTTGAGGACGAGCGGCAACCGCACGCAGGTCCCCCCATACACAGGTTTCCCGCGATCATGAATGGGACGCTTCCGCACGTACTGGTGCCACGCGAGACCGAACCACGTTCACAGGCTGGTTGGAGCCCCCAATCAGCAGTGAAGGAATCTCCCGAGCTTCCCATTCGGGCATCAAAACGTTTGCTTGACAAAACGAATTGGGGTGACAAAACCACCACACCACCTCCCCACAGCCTCGTTTTGTCTGCCCAGACAGTTGGACAAGAGCTGAGAATTTTTGGGCTGAGCTGGCAGGACTTCCACGTGGCGTTTGTTCTTCCGTTGAAGGTGTGGTCGGGAAGATGCTAATGGTCTGGCAGCGCGCGACTTAAAAAAATCAAGTACAAGAGCGCCAATGACTTGGCGGCCATGATTTTGAACGAGAGTTGGTACAGTAAAAGATGAAAACATCCTGGTCCGATTATGTCCCACAAGTATTAAAGTAACTCAATAAAATTGAGAGAACACTGGCCGTGTAGAGCATTTTTTTTGGGGAAAATATGTCAATGGTAACTTACATGGGGCACTATAACGCGTACGATAACGATTTCAACGCGTTTGGTAACTCGCTTAACGCGTTTGGTAACTCGCTTAACACGTTTGGTAACTCGCTTAACACGTATGGTAACTATACACTAGCAGCCCATCACGCGAATGGTAACTAGAAGAAACCCTCGCCCAAAATGACCCTGAAACTGGTTTTTCCCGCTCACGTCAGACTAAATTGACGAATCGTGAAGCAGAAATCTCTGACACACTCTCCAAAATTCTGACACAGTTTTCCGAAATTCTGACACACTTTCCGAAATCCTGACACACTTTCCGGTTTTCAAGCTAATTGCAAAACCGTAAGTGTTGTGAAAACAACTGTTCATACACAACTGATATTTTGGCGCTCGTTTCGCAAAGTGTTTGTACTTCATTCTATCGTGCAGCCGGGGCAAACAAATCTATACCCCTTTCAGATGGCAAATGAATTTGAGAGCATCAACCCTAATCTCCTTGCAACAAGGCGTTTATGGTTATAAAAAAACGAAACATGTAATTCTAAAGAGGTGTATTTTTCCCACATAAAAAAATTCTCCAACGTTACAGTAATTACAAAAAAAAAAGTAAAAGCCCCGAGGTCCTTTTGGGGAATGTTTGTTTCACCATTTTGCAAGTTCGCAATCATGCTATCAAAAATATGATTTTAACCGTATTTGTACAAGCTACACATATATATAAAACGGCTCTGAAACTTTTTCGGTCCGTGGTAATAGAACAAACGGGGTCCTTCAAAGTCGAGGCGGGACTTGTTAAAAACCGATAAACTTTTGCGTAAATGCTTTCAAACTTGATAAATTCCTCCTTGTGAGGATCATTTCGGCGGGAGTTTCATGTAGTTACGATTCGCGTGATCACTCGCCTGTGTTGAGTTACCAAATGCGTGAAAACACAGATATAAGTTACCATACGCATTAAGCGAGTTACCAAACGTGTTAAGCGAGTTACCAAACGCGTTAAGCGAGTTACCAAACGCGTTAAGCGAGTTACCAAACGCATTGAAATTGTTACCGTACGCGTTATAGTGCCCCATGTAAGTTACCATTGACATAATTTCCCCTTTTTTGGCAAAGAAAACAAAACATACATTTGTTCTATATGGAGATAACCGTAACAAATCGTACTATTGTATCAACACATTTACAGCATGCCAGTGTACCCATTACTATGGATTTAACCAGCCCCACGTCTTGACAAACTGCCCCCTCAAAGCACATTTGTTGCCATAATAGGAGACAACAGCAAAATGGCCACGAGGGTTGTTCATGAGCTTGTACGCTGGGGATAATGTGTAGCCGAAGCGAGTAAGGTATCGGCGCGTCCTAATTGCATGGTAGCTATAGGTCCGAACCTGCCGATTGATGGGACCATTCAGGGTGTCATTCTTCCAGTTCATGACGAATGGCGGCACTCGCACCCCGTCGGCACCGTCTGGAGATGTGAACCGTCTACCAATGTACACTCCGTACATCGGGATGTTGCCATTACTGAACATGTTGTTGGCCGTCACATAAGTCTTCACCACGTAAGATAATCCATCTCTGCAAAACAAATCCTTACAGTGAGATACCGTTTCAACTCCCACAAATTTGTATGCGGATTAGAGTGAACTGAAAAGATAACACGAGCTCACAAGTAAACGGAGATGCCAACTCGTCCGAATCCGAGGTTTAAGTCGGTACCTCCAAAGACATTGACTCCTGAAAGAATGGCTGTCGCCCTCTCTGCTCACGTCATCAAGCATCACAAAGGAAAGGAAATATGAGGCTTTGCGCATTCCACGAAGACTTTCTAGAAAAAAAAGGGCGAAGAACGCGCGGGGATGACGTACAGACCGCACATACAAATGTTTGTTTGCTTTTGTTTTTGTGTTATGTCTTTCCTCGTGATAAGATGCGGTCAGAGCGACTTACTGTACAGCACTTTCGAGGAAGCCACGGATGCGAGAGTGCCTGTAATCAGGGGGACAGTTCGAAACGAGAGTTAGGTGACGACCAAGTGATCAAGACTACGAAGGGGCATGCGTGTCGAAAGGTTGCGAGCGGAAGTCGAGAATGAAAATTATGGAAATATGTTTATGCGTCGAGTAACGAAGACAACCAGTTGTGCCAGAGGTGCTCACATAGAAGAAGAAATACAAGAATAACCCGATGCTTCTCCATCGTTTCGTGTCACTGATTTCGAGCGGCAGCGACGAGTAAAGACGGATAATACTCTCTCAGCTAAGGGCTTCACGAGTCTACACAACCTGATCAGGAGTAGGGGGGGCTGTTATAGTTTTGTATGCTGAACGGATTAGGGAGTGCCATTGAGTCAGACATTGGGGGGGCACACGCACCTAGCCACTCGAAGTTGGCTGCATCTGCGTTCTCCGGCAGAGAACAGCGCGGCAGCGCCACTATTCCAAAGTAGGCTTGCCGCAAGTAGCGGCTCGTGAGTAGGCTTGTTGTGAAAAGGGAAAATTATTCTGAAGTATGTACGGAGAGGAGAGTCGTTCAGGTGCCTCTTGCGCTGAGGGGATCAAGAAATGTTAGCAAAGACTACACTTCAAGACTTTCATTTCGTTACTTCACCAGCCCAAACAAAAGGTGGTTTGAATGTTTGTGCAAGGGACCGCCCCATTTGCAGTGGAGAGGACAGTGGCAGTTACATCACGATGCTGGTCGGTGGTGGAGGCGCGTCGTAACGGATGTTCGCGAACATCTTCGCGAAAACCGCCTCATCAATATGTCTGCGATTGTTCGTGCACCTTGAAGAACCACTTGACCAAAAGTATCATCCTTACTACAGACAGCCTCGATACGACAGCCCAACAGTAGGGATGGTTCTAGATAATCAGGTGTAAGCGGAAGTGAGTTACAACATGCACACCACACCATGATGGGTGAGCGGATCATGCTAAACATTGGCAGGCAGATTGAACCAAATTGCATACTTATGGCAGCAACGATCTTTGAGCAGAATAACGAAATCTCATGTGTGACAGGGAAGGCAGACACTACGGTAGGAAGGTTTTACATCTCGGGTATGCAAGCTCCTATAGCTCAATACCGTACTAGAACACTTCGTTGATAATTTATTACCCAGCACGAATAACCATTATTAACTCACTCCAGCTACTCCACTTTCAACGCCCTTTCTTCCTCGGTAGGAGCCCTATCCTCGCCACCCTCCCCACTGCTAACAACAGCAGCAAGAGCCTCGGGAGTCTCCTCCTCCATCGGCAAGAGGACTGGCTTGGCCTTGGAACCCAGCGCGCTGAGAGGCTGCATCTTAGGGCCATTCAACATGAGGGCTGTGCATGCGATTAGGTGCATGCCCACAATCAAGCAGCACTGGTACAGTATCGCCTCGCCCACCTGTGATGTTACGCGCGCACACAGGGGAGCAAGGCATATGAAAGAGTTTGTTAAACACCGATAAGACTGAGATAAAAAAATGTGTTCTGCAGGAGGAGTGTATGAAGCGGAAGAAGTGAGGCAGAGTAGAAACAGGTCCAGGGACAAGGGAAGAGGGAGTGAAGCTGAGGGAATGACATTCACACTTATGAGTGACTCGATAGTACATACATTACATTGTCACAGCAAGCACACTCACAGTAAAGCTTTCAATGGAGAGCTTCTTAAGGATCTGGTCCCCACGAGTGATCCCATTCATTACAAGAACAAGTATTACATGCAGCACCACTATAAGCACACTCACAGTGTAGTTTGCAATGGAGAGCTGCTGGAGGATCTGATCCCCACTGGGAGGAGGGTTTTGAAACGACTCAAAACGCACCGTTACAAGCACACCCATTACAAGCACACCCATTACAAGCACGCCCATTATAAGCACACTCACAGTGTAGTTCGCAATGGAGAGCTGCTGGAGGATCTGATCCCCAGTTGGACAGTCGGTGCAGGAAAAGGTCAGCCCTGGGATGGATAGAGGGGGAGGAGAGAGGCAACAAGGGAAAAAAGAAGCCGGAAGGACACACGCAGAAACAATTAAAGGCGCGGCTTAGTAGCAGACTTAGGAGCAGACTTAGTAGCAGACTTAGGAGCCCGGCTTGAAAATGAAGACGATTGGTTGGTAGGGCAGCTTATGTGAGAACTGGCAGAGCGATGGAGTCGAGGTGGAGTGGCTGACCCACAGGTACGCACACCCACTCCGTCCCACCCATCCCCAGCCCAGCCCAGAGAGTGCCACTCACCCTCGAACTGGTTGACGGCCAGGCCAACGAAGCCCCACTGGATGGGCGAGATGTAGCGCACCCAGCAGATCCACACCCACTCCACCCCACCGCACCCCATCCCACCACATCCCACCCCACCCCATTCAAGCTTATCCCAGTGAAACAGAGAGCGACTCACCCTCGAACTGGTTAACTGCCAGCCCAACGAAGCCCCACTGGATTTGCTTTGAGCCCCACCCCACCCCACCCCACCCCACCCCACTCTACCCCACTCCACCCCATTCGAGGCTCACCCTCAAACTGGTTGACGGCGAGCCCCACGAATCCCCACTGGATGGGCGAGATGTAGTGCACCCAGTGGATCCACACGGGGATGGAGTCGAGATTCACGTAGTGACCCACCGCACCTCAGCCTACTGCACCGCATCCCACCCTGACTCACCCTCGAACTGGTTGACGGCCAGTCCCACAAAGCCCCACTGGATGGGCGAGATGTAGCGCACCCAGCGGATCCACACAGGGATGGAGTCGATGTTCACGTAGAAGCCCCCAAACAGCATCAGCACGACTGTGAACAGCGGACCCATGGCTAGAGCAATTTGAGGAGTGGGTGCTATCGACCCAATCTGTGGGTGAATGAGCGAGGGAGCAAGGCAACGAGGGTACGTGAGGGGATTGAGGGATCCACACGGTGATGGAGTCGATGTTCACATAGAAGCCCCCAAACAGCATGAGCACCACCGTGAAGAGCAGACCCATGGCCAGGGCGATCTGAGGGGTGGGCGCAATTGACCCAATCTGTGGGTGAGTGGGGGGAGAGAGGGTGGTACGTGAGGGGATTGAGATTCACATAGAAGCCCCCGAACAGCATCAGCACCACCGTGAAGAGCAGACCCATGGCCAGGGCGATCTGAGGGGTGGGCGCAATTGACCCAATCTGTGGGTGAGTGGGGGGAGAGAGGGTGGTACGTGAGGGGATTGAGATTCACATAGAAGCCCCCAAACAGCATGAGCACCACCGTGAAGAGAGGCCCCATGGCTAGCGCAATTTGAGGGGTTGGTGCTATCGACCCGATCTGTGGTTGGAGGGGCGATTGGGAGGATCCCAAGGGGGTAGTTGCAGGGAAAGATGTGGCAAGGGCGGAACCATGACCCATCAGCACACAGCATCAGCACACAGCATGAGCAAACAGCATCAGCAAACAGCATCAGCAAACAGCATCAGCAACCACATACATACCACGATGCCGAGCCCGTTCATGGCGGTGAATTCGAGCATGAGGATGACGAGGAAGAGGAGGAACTTGGAGGCCACGCGCTGGTACTCAATGGGCCAGTAGGCGATCACCCCAAATAACCACACACACATGCACGCACGCCCTCCCTTACCAACCACACACACATGCACACACGCCCTCCCTTCCCAACCACACACATACCACGATGCCGAGCCCGTTCATGGCGGTGAATTCGAGCATGAGGATGACGAGGAAGAGGAAGAACTTGGAGGCCACGCGCTGGTACTCAATGGGCCAGTAGGCGATCATCCCAAACACGAGCACCGGGCCGATGCGGATGGGCCACTCTGAGAGCACTTTGGCGGGGTAGTATGCGGTAATGCGGTAACTGTTGGACGACCGCTCGCGGTTCACCACACCTTTCTCCAGTGGAAAGGTCGTGATCATCTGCAAGAATTGGGTGGAGACGGGAGGGGGAGGGGAAGAGAGAGCGCTTTGGCGGGGTAGTATGCGGTAACTGTTGGACGCGCGCTCGCGGTTCACCACACCCTTTTCAAGTGGAAAGGTCGTGATCATCTGCAAGGGGAAGGGGGAGAGAGAGGGGAGGGTTGGGAAGGGAGAGAAGGAAGGGGCCATTAGCGGGGCTGATGGGCTGGCCAGTAGGCGATGATCCCGAACAGGAGCACGGGGCCGATGTGGATGGGCCACTCGGAGAGCACTTTGGCGGGGTAGTATGCGGTTATGCGGTAACTGTTGGACGCGCGCTCGCGGTTCACCACGCCACATTCTGGTTCTGTTTTATTAGAATTCTAAAAAAACAGATTCAGCTAAAGGTATAATCGCATCCCGATTGTTCGATGCAATAACAGTGAAAAAAAAAAGGGTACGGATCTTATTGGAAGAATCAAAAGCATTACGATGTCCTCCTGCAGCTCGCACATTCCCCCCCTGCTCTTAGCCCAAAATTCCGTGTCTTCCCTACAAATATATAAATAAATAGATAAATAAATAGATAGATAAATAGATATATATATATATATATATATATCGCTGCACCTGGAAGATGCTGTTGAAAGAGAGAAAGAGTGCGATGAAGAAGATGGACCTGCTCGGGGTACTCGAGCGAGTTGGAGTAGAGAATAAAAATCATGTTGAGATGTCTCAACAATAGTTACATGGAAGACCCCTCACCTGGAAGACCCCTCACCTGGAAGATGCCGTTGAAGGCGAGAAAGAGGGCGATGAAGAAAATGGAGCCGGTCATGTTCTGCACCGGATACTCGAGCGAGTTGGAGTAGAGAATACAGATCATCACCATCATCACCATCGCCTGCACGTACGCGATCGCTATCGGGAGCCTATCCCTCGTCACCTGCCACCAAGATTGGGAAGTGTGTGATAGAAGTGTGTTTTTGAGACGTCTCAATGGTAGAGGATGGGGATCATCATCGTCATCACCGTCATCACCATCGCCTGCACGTACGCGATCGCAATCGGCAGCCGATCCCTCGTCACCTGCCACCAAGATTGGGAAGTGTGTGATAGAAGTGTGTTTTTGAGACGTCTCAATGGTAGAGGATGGGGATCATCACCGTCATCACCATCATCACCATCGCCTGCACAAGCACTGTTAATATTGAGAATTCTCCAAAGTGATATGCACATATGTGTGCGATCGCTATCAGGAGCTTATCTCTCGTCACCTGCCACCAGGACCACCACGACCCATGTGATTAATTAGGCGAGCAGCAGTCTAGAAGAAACTAAACAAAACTGAAGGAAAGTAAAAGAAACAAAACAAAACTAGAAGAAAGTATAAGAAACTAGACAAAACTAGAAGAAACTAAACAGAACTAGAAGAAAGTAAAAGAAACTAAACAAAACTAAAAGAGTAAGAAACCACACAAAACTAAAAGAAACTAAAGATCCCTCCTCACCTGCCACCAGGACAAACATAGACTTTTGAGACATCTTACAGCTTATCCCTCCTCCTCACCTGCCACCAGGACCGCCGCGCCAGCACCACCAGCTGCGTCACCCAAGTAGACGCATACTTGGAATACTTCATCCCCTCCCTGCATGCCCTCGCCTTTGTGACATCTTACAAATTATTCCTGATCGCGTGCGTGCTCTAAAACATAGAGTTTTGCGACATCTTACAGCTTATCCCTCCTCCTCACCTGCCACCAGGACCGCCGCGCCAGCACCACCAGCTGCGTCACCCAAGTAGACGCATACTTGGAGTATTTCATCCCCTCCGTAGCCTCCGCCTGCTCCTCCATGCTCTTCTGGTGCAGGTCCGGCCGAACCTCCCGTGAAGGCTCGTACGAGGAGGTGAGCTGCTGGATGCGCGCAGTGCTGTCGGTTTCCCGCTGCTCGTCGCGGCGGTCGATGGAAATCATATCCATGAAATAGTCGGCCGGGTTGAAGTGCTCCGGGCAGGCGAAGCCCTGGCGGGAGAAGTAGTCGATTGAATCTGCAGCCTGCCCGAAAAAGACCATCCGGCCCTCGCTCAGCAGCAGCAGGTTCTCAAACTGCAGTGAGGGGAAGGGAGAAGAGAGGGGGATAGAGATGGGAGTGGGGTGGAGGAGCGGAGGAAGGAGAGGGGGGGAAGTAGCTGAGGTGGTGAGAGGCCTGTCAGTCTCTCCCGCTGCTCGTGGCGGCGGTCGATGGAGATAATATCCATGAAGTAATCGGCAGGGTTGAAGTGCTCGGGCAGGTGAAGCCCTGGCGGGAGAAGTAGTCGATTGAATATGCAGCCTGCCCTCGATTGAATATGCAGCCTGCCCGAAAAAGACCATTCGACCTTCGCTCAGCAGCAGCAGGTTCTCAAACTGCAGGGGGAGGAGAGGGGGAAATGAAGCGTACGGAACTGAGGGGATCATTGAAGGTGGTCAACCAGTAATGCGGATAGGGGGATGCAGCAATGCGGCCAAGACATAGAGTGAAAAGAGAGACTGGTGGAGGACCTTGGCTGGTGGATGGGGAACGGGGGACGGGGGACGGGGGACGGGGGATGGGGGATGGGGGACGGGGGACGGGGGATGGGGGATGGGGGACGGGGGATGGGGGACGGGGGACGGGGGACGGGGGATGGGGGATGGGGGATGGTGAACGGGGGACGGGGGATGGGGGACGGGGGACGGGGGACGGGGGATGGGGGATGGTGAAGTGGTGGGGAAACAAGGGCGAAGATGGAGGAGCATGGCTGGTGGATGGAGGAGATGGCGGTGCGGCGCATGTACGTCCGAACCAGGGGTAGTACCCCGAACCTGAAGGCATCTGCCAGGCACGAGGAGGGCTCCACCCACCCACCCACTCACGAGGGCGCAGAGGGACCATCTGGGCTGGTGGGTGGTGGAGATGAGATGGCGGTGCATGTACCACTCGTGGGCTCCTAAGAACAGCCCTCAAGGGCTCCTTGATATGGCAACCTTATAGGGCTCCTCCGTCACTCACGAGGGCGAAGATGGAGGAGCGCGGATGGTGGATGGTGGAGATGAGATGGCGGTGCATGCACAGCCTAGGAACAACTCTAAGGCCGCGCTTAGAGCTCCAACCCGACCCACTCACGAGGGCGAAGATGGAGGAGCGCGGCTCGTGGATGGTGGAGATGACGGGTGCATGCATGTACAACACCTAGGGGCACACCCCGAAGCCCACCCTAAGAGCTCCACCCCACTCACGAGGGCGAAGATGGAGGAGCGCGGTTGGTGGATGGTGGAGATGACGGTGCGGCCGCTCTTGGAGAGATCAGAGAGCGCACTCATCACGTTGAGCGCCTGGAAGCTGTCCAGCCCGGATGTTGGCTCGTCTGAAAGAGGGGGTGAAAGGGGGAGGGGAGAGCAGGGGAAGGCAGGGACGGGCAATAGGGATGCATGTTATGGGGGGAGAGCGAGCCGCGAGAGGTCAGAGAGTGCACTCATCACGTTGAGCGCCTGGAAGCTGTCCAGCCCGGACGTTGGCTCGTCTGGTGTGGGGGGAGCGGGGGAAAAATCAGGCCAATAGACACCCAAACGACAAACAACAGCAAAGCGAAGGAGCGCACAAGCATCCAAGTGCAATTTTTGAGGCGCCTCCTGCAATGATGGACTCCGCCAGCTGCAGGCGCTGCGTCTTGGGTGTGGACGACGGCAGGCGCAGCACACGCCATGCACCGAGGAAACACCAAAGCAGCACAACCACTCACCAAGAAAGACGAGCAACGGGTTTGAAAGCATCTCCACAGCAATATTCGTCCGCTTGCGCTCGCGACCGCTCACTCCCCGAATCATCTCATTCCCAATGGGTGTGTTCCGCGCCTTGCTCAACCCCAGCTCCGCAATGATCGACTCCGCCAGCTGCAGGCGCTGCGCCTCGGGCGTGGTCGACGGCAAAACACATGCAGCTCACTCCAAGGAAACACCAGAACATCCAAACTCACCAGAGAATCCAAACTCACCCAGGAACACAAGCGAGGGGTTTGAAAGCATCTCCACCGCAATGTTCGTCCGCTTCCTCTCCCCACCACTAACTCCCCGAATCATCTCATTCCCGATCGGGGTATTCCGCGCCTTGCTCAGCCCCAGCTCCGCAATGATGGACTCCGCCAGCTGCAGGCGCTGCGCCTTGGGCGTGGTCGACGGCAGGCGCAGCATAGCAGCCGTCTGCAGCGTCTCCCAGACGGTGAGCGTGGAGAACATGAGGTCGTCCTGCATCACGTACGCGGATATGCGCCTGAAGCTCTCGTCTCTTGGACGACCGTTCACCAGCACCTGCCCTGACAGAGACGTGGGGGCTCCCGCCCTCATGACTCTGCCTGCCAGCACGTTCAGCAGACTCGTTTTTCCGGAGCCTGGGGAGGACAGGAAGGGAGCAGAGGAGGGGCAGAGGAGGGGCAGGGGAGGGGCAGATGAGGGACAGAGCAGCATGGCGGCGATGTGCAGCGTCTCCCAAACAGTGAGCGTGGAGAACATGAGGTCGTCCTGCATCACGGTGGAGAACATGAGGTCGTCCTGCATCACGGTGGAGAACATCAGCGCCTGAAGCTCTCGTCCCGCGCCCGCCCGTTCACCAGCACCTGCCCCGCTAGAGAGGTGGGGGCTCCAGCGCGCATCACCCTTCCTGCCAGCACGTTCAGCAGACTCGTCTTGCCAGAGCCTGAAGGGCAGGGAAGGGGGAGATAAGGGGAAGATACGGGACAGATGACGTGCAGGTGCAGCAGAGTCGTCTTGCCGGCGTTGCCATCCTTGTGAGAGATGAGTCGACTCAACAGTCCTTGTGAAAGGTGTACGAGAAACAGAGATCTCTCTCAGACCGGCATTGCATAACTCGCCCCGCCAGCACGTGCAGTGCAGCAGTGTCGTTGATCAGTGAAAAGGGGAGGCGGAGATAATAAGAAGGGGGGAATGCTTTAGGCGCCTCAAAAGAAGCATGGGGACGGGAGCTCGGTGAAAGGGGGATCAGTGAAAAGGGGAGGCGCAGGCTGGAAAGGGAGGTGAGGGGACGAAACGTAACGTAAAAGGGAAGGGCCGCACCTGAGGGGCCCATGATATGATGGCGAGAAAGGAGGCAGCCTTGACGTATCCCGTGAGGTTGTCGAGAAGAGGGACCAATCACTAACGAAAAACTGGACTGGAAAGCACCCACCTGAGGGGCCCATGATGGCGAGAAAGGAGCCGGCCTTAACGTATCCCGTGAGGTTATCCAGAATGAGCGTGTTGGTCTTCGCCTTGCCTCGCCCCAGCGTGACGGTGTACGTGACGTCCTTAAACGCCAGGGACACGGGATGGAAACGAGTCCCCGGCGCTGACGCCGCCACCTGAAAAAAATCAAGAGGAAGGGGAAGTAACAATTGTTCTGAGAGGCCGTCCCTCGCCTCGGCGTCACCGTGTATGTGACGTTCTTAAACGCCAGGGATACCGGGAGGAAGCGAGTCCCTGGCGCTGACGCCGCCGCCTGGATGACGACAGGAAACAGAGAGAATGAGGGGTGATAAGCGTCGCGGGGAAGAGGGTCCTGATGTACGACAGGCGTTGAAACGCCGGAAACACCATGTGGAACACGCGTTCGGCCGAGTGGAACACGCGTTCGGCCGGGTGGAACACGCGTTCGGCCGGGTGGAACACGCGTTCGGGACATTGAGGCCACGGCATCAGTCAGCGTAAAGAAGAAGAAGTTGAAAAAAAAAAAAAAAAAAAAAAAAAAAAACCCACCGTCGTTGCTCCATCCAAAAACTACAGACAAAAAGGCTATGAATATATGCTTATCAGAAACAAGCAAAAAACAAGCGACACCTGAATTGCTCAACGAGAAGCAACGCGACTTTATTGAACGGAGAGAGTGTGAATGCTTCGTGGGCGTCACCTCGAACATGGACTGCGTTCGCTTATACTCGGTTCCTTCTGGCGGAATGGCTACTCTCTCTTCCGCGTTCAACGGCTCGCCTTGCTCCACGTCGATCGGCGCAACGTCGCCGCTGCTGTTAGGCAGCTCCCCCATCGCCCCACCTAAACCCATTGTACCTTCTGCTTCTGTGATAGGCTACAAGAACGATCGTCGAGGAGTAATATGTATGGCAAGCATACAACTTTAGAGAGAAGGAAATAGGACGCTTGCCCTTAGCGAAGTGAGCTGTGGCACCAACTCTAAGGGGATGCCAGCTTTCACGCATCACGACTACTAAGGCGATGCCGTCGAAACTCCGCAAAACGATTGTCAGAAATAAGTAGAGCAGAACAGCAAAACAGCAAAACAGCAAAATCACCATTCACCACTGGTTCGACCTGTCGGTTTGACAGCGGCCGCGACAACTTCTAGGGCATCTGTGTCTGTCTGTGCTCGTCGAATATTGAAGGAACCGAGTATCACGCGACAGCCCACTCAACCGGTTTCAGCCCACAAAATTCCTACCCAACCGCATACGAGTTGACCTTTCGATATCAATCATATAGTCACAGCGTGACTAAATCGGTGGGAAGGCTCGGGCTACCAAACCAAAGCTTTCGCAAGCAGGAAAAGGCACCAATTTGGGTTTCTGCGATATCTTCAACAACACTTGGCGAATTTTAGCGAGACGGTCTCAAGTTTTCGTCGTGACGTCAGATTCGTGTGGGTGGGACCGTGGGAGGAAGCATTCGAGCGCGTAGCTAGCCAATCAGCGCACGTGCTGTGACACGGAAGTTTGCTTACCGAGACGCAATGCAACAGCAGAAACCACGCGGTAATGCACTGCGAGTGCTGCCTACGTCACCAAGCAAAGGGCTGTAACCGCTATAATTCTCGGATTTCTTTGAGAAAGGTGAGTAAAACATTGGAGAAGGCAACATACTAGACACCACTTGATTGGCATTTCAAGAGTGTACACATTTAATCAGCACACAATGCAGGAAAAACCCGTGCATCTACTCGATTGGCAGAAACAAAAAAAAGACCAGTCAAAGGAGAGGAAGCAGGAACACAGGAGGGGAGCAAGGCACCAAAGGGGGTCAAGCAGGAGACACACAGAACTGAAGAGGGAAGAGGGAAGATGCAGGGAATGAGACTTGGTCTTGGATGTCAAGGGAGGGACGCAATCAAATCTGTTGGAATCCTGAAAGTGGCACTGCAAAAAGAGAAGCAAACAAGCGCAGCAGCCTGGAGTGACCATGCCTGCCTGCCTTCAGTGCTTCGTTCTTCAAATGCAACAAATTGGCATACTTGCTCTGGTCTTATGGAACTGCGTTCAATCAGCAGCTGGTCATGCTTCTGAAGCATGCAGTGCAGATGCTGGAAAAGGGGAGAAACACAAGCAAGCAGGCAACAGGCAGAAAGGGAGGAACACAGAAAGAAAAAGAAGAAGAAGACAAAAACACATACACAGGAAAGGAGAAAACACAGGCAAGACACGGAAAAGGAGAGAGAATAGGAGAAGGGGGGAAACGGCAAATGCAGGAGAGAAGGCAGTCAGCAATCAACGTGCTATCGATCACATGCCCCCCTCTGTGAAAGTTCCGACTCAATATGAAACCTTAGCCTTGTAACAAGCTGCAGGAAGGGTGGCAAAAAGAGGAGGAAAAGGAGCAATGAGGAAAAGAAGGGTGACAACCCAGTGCTCCCCTGTGAGAGCGCTCCCACTTGCTTGCAGTCTCTCAACTTCAGCGCAAGCTGCTGAAAGGGTGGCAGAAAACGCGAGGTGGAATTAGATAACGCTCCCATCTCAGAAAAACCCCACACACGTGTTCTGAAAAAGTATCAATCTAGAAAAAAATGCTCCAGTTGCACCAGGTGTTGCTCGTGTAACGAGTCGAGTTTTGAGTCGAGTCATTACACGTGAAAATCCTCCAGTTGCACCAGGTGTTCCTGTTTCCGAAGGAGGGAGGGAACTTATATCGCGAATCAAAACTCCTTCATTTCTCTCGCTTGAGTTGCTCCATTTTGCATGCTCCACGGTTATGCACGGTTGCTGCGATCCGATATGGAAGGGATCCCAGCACAGTGCTGATCTCAATCACTCACTGGGAACACAGTGGCTCCTCACACACACTGAGGCGCCTCAGAAGTTGCTAGTTGCAGGCCCGTACCAAGCCTAGTGTGGTGAAGACCTGGTCTGCTTTGCTTGAAGCTTCTCTTGCACTCCTGTGGACCAACCTTGGAGAAACAGTTTGTTACCTTGCCACCTTGTTTGCTTGCGATTCTTTTAGTTGACTCAAAGCTTGGCCTTCTGACCAACCTTAAAGGGCTAGCTACCTACCTTGTTTGCTTGCTTGCTTGCGGCACAGTCAATCTTCCTCCTCCTCTCCATAGTCCACCAGAGTCATGCCTCCCGGGCCACCTGCCGAGCCTGCAGTCACCGAACCTGGAGTCATGTTAGCCGAACCTGTGGCATGGGCGGATGCTTAAGGGCCAAAGGAAGTTGAAGAGAGCGGAGAGAGGTAGATGCCATTAATTATAATGAAATCGCATATGCATATGTATAAAGGCACATATGTACATATGTGCTGCTAACAAGCCAGAAAGGTGAATCCCTGTGAAACAGAGTCTCACATGACTTCGGATATAAAGCCGCTCTGCTTACCGTTTTGCCCATGTGCCTGGCCTCCGCCTCCTCCACCGAGCCTGCCCGGCAGCTTTGGCGGCGGCGGGCCCATGACCGACCGAGCCTGCGGCGGAGGCATGGAAGAAGACTGGTACTGCTGCTGCTGTTGATGCTGTTGCTGCTGTTGCTGCTGCTGTTGCTGTTGCTGCGGCTGATAAGTGGTATAACTTCCCCCATACGAGCCATAGGATGACTGATGGGCACCCACACCATTCCCTGCCCCACCACCCCCGCCCCCACCAGACGAACCACCACCACCACCACCACTCCCACCAGCACCACCAGCAGTACTACCAGCACCACCACCGCCGCCTCCCCCTCCCGCTCCCACATCAGTCACTTCCCGGAACTTTCTCCCCTTGCCCGACGTGCTTCTGTTCGCCCCTGCCCCTCCCCCCATCCCCACCTGCGAATACAACCCCCCATACGCCGCATACCCTGGCCCACTCACCCCTCCGTCCTTCTCTCCCCCTCCCCCGCCCCCTCCTCCCCCTCCCCCTCCCCCTCCCCCTCCCCCTCCCCCTCCCCCTCCTCCGCCTCCGCCCCCTGCGCCCCCTGACTGCTGCTGCTGCTGCCACTCGTCCCGAATGGTGTCTATGAGGCTCTCTGCCAGTTTCTTTGCTTCGGCCATCTGTGCTGCCGATGCACCTTCAGAGGCTGTGAGGGAGACGTGCAGAGGCGCGTTCAGCTCTGCACACAAGGTTGGGAGGAGAGGGCGAAAAAAAGAATGGAGAGGCAGACCGGGCACCGTCACTAGCCGTGAGGGTAGACGTGCAGGGGCGAGTTCAGCTCTGCACAGGAGGGGTGAAAGGTGGGAAAACAGTGAGGTCGGAGGGGTGTTAGCGGTGTGAAAAGGAAAGAAGAGAATGGCGAGGGTGAGTGAGTGAACTCTTTGCGGATTTCCTTCCTGCACAACTACCCTTACCCTCAACTTCACCATTGATCTCACTCCGCCCTCCGATCACCCTGCGACTTTTGAGTCGACTCAAAAGTCTCCTTCCTGCACAACTACCGTTACCCTCAACTTCACTGTTGATCTCACTCCGCCCTCCCCTCACCCTGCCTTTTCTCCTCACCTGCGCCGTTGACTTCGCCCAGCCCTGCGCTCACCTTCGCTGTTGATCTCACCTCCACCGTTGATCTCACCTCCACCCACCGTTGATCTCACCTCCACCCACCGTTGATCTCACCTCCACCCACCGTTGATCTCACCTCCACCCACCGTTGATCTCACCTCCACCGTTGATCTCACCTTCGCCGTGGATCTCATGGTTGTTGGAGCACCGCCCATGCAGAGTCGCCTTGATGCCCGTGTATGCATGCACAGAAGTCTTTTGGGGTACCTCTAAAGCCCTCCCATCACCTTCGTCCTCTCCTCACCTTCGCCGTTGATTTCATGGTTGTTGGAGCACCGCCCATGCAGAGTTGCCTTGATGCTCGTGGAAGTATGAATGTGCTCCAAATACGAGTCCTGTACGAGTGGTGCGGAGGGGGGAGAAACCATGGGAGGCACGCAAAAGAAACAAGGCTTTTCAAGGGCTCTCACTGGCCCATGCAGAGTTGCCTTGATGCTTGTGGAAGTGTGAATGTGCTCCAAGTACGAGTCCTGAGTCCTGCTCCAAGTACGAGTCCTGGGTTAGAGAAGAGAAGAGGGAAGGATGAATTGCGGATGAGAAACAAAGAGAAGTCCGTGCGATGAAAACCGCTTACCATATCTTGTTTCGCTTCTTTCCTTCTCACGAGTATTGAGACAACTTTTGAGGCGCCTGAAAAACGATTTAAAACCTTCCCACATAAAGACGTATCTTCTCTCATTCTCCTGATCACTCACATTCGGGCCTCTGATCCGCCCAGACGCGTCAAACTCCCGTGTCGGTTCAAACCCCGCAAACACCAGCACGATGTTGCTGCCCGGAGGGAGAGACCCAGCAGAAGCGCCCTTCCCCAACAAACCCAGTTACCAGCCCCAGACAATTCCCCTCGCTCTTCCTGTCCATTCAACAACGAACTCACATTGGGTCCTCTGATCCGCCCAGACGCGTCAAACTCCCGTGTCGGTTCAAACCCCGCAAACACCAGCACGATGTTGCTGCCCGGAGGGAGAGACCCAGCAGAAGCGCCCTTCCCCAACAAACCCAGGTACCAGCCCCAGACAATTCCCCTCGCTCTTCCTGTCCATTCAACAACGAACTCACATTGGGTCCTCTGATCCGCCCAGACGCGTCAAACTCCCGTGTCGGTTCAAACCCCGCAAACACCAGCACGATGTTGCTGCCCGGCGGAATGGACCCAGCAGAAGCAGACGGGGCGCCATACCCCTCCCCATACGCCCCTGGCGGGGGCGCCCCATAGGCGCCACCCGGGGGAGGTGCATATGGGGACGGGGCGGCCGCAGGGTAACCAGCAGGGGGGTAAGCAGGCGGCGGATATTGCCCAGGAGGGTACTGCCCTGGTGCCTGGGGGGGGTATTCACCGGGAGCACCCTGCGGGGGAGGGCCATACCCAGGGGCACCCTGAGAGGGATACGAAGCAGGGGCACCAGCAGGAGGGGGGTAGCCCGGGTAGCCGTGGGGAGGAGGAGGGCCGTATGCAGGGTCATAGGTCCCTGGAGGAGGGGCGGGATATCCCCCTGGCGGTGCCCCATAGGGGGGAGGCTGACCCTGAGGAGGGTAGGACCCAGGCGGGTAGGACCCGGGGGGGTAGGACCCGGGGGGGTAGGACCCGGGGGGGTAGGACCCGGGAGGGTAGGATCCGGGGGGGGGTGCGTACTGGGGAGGAGCGCCATACCCCTCCCTCTCCCTCTCCCTGTCTCTGTCCCTGTCCCTGTCTTGATCGCGATCCCTATCCCTGTCTCTGCCTCTGTCCCGCTCCCGATCCCTGTCCCTGTCCCTCCCATGCCGATCCCGATCCCTGTCCCTCTCCCTGTCTCTGTCTCTGCCCCTGTCGCTGCGCCCGTACGGATCGTATCTCTCCCTTTCCCGCCCCCTCCCCGCCTCAAGCTCCCTCTCGTGCCGCCCGCCCCGCCCCGCCCTGCCGGCATCGCGGGACGATCTCGACCGCTCGTCGCCCCACGGCGGACGGCCAGGATCGGCCCGATCGGGCGCCTGGGCCCTGGGCTGCTCTCCTGGCCGTAGATTCATGATGTCGTCGATCATGCGGACGGCAGCGTCCACCATCCGCTGCTTCTCCTCCGCCGTCTTGGCCTGCCCTCGCGGAGACAAAGGAAGGTGGAGAGGGTAATGCAGGAGAGGGGCGGACGGGGAGAAGGGGGGAGGGGGGAGATGAGATGAGGGAAAGAACACAGCAGCGTCCACCATCTGCTGCTTCTCCTCGGGCGTCTTGGCCTGCACACGTGGCCGTGGCAGGGGGGGGAGAGGGAAAGGGGAGAGGGGATAAGGAGAGTGGGGGAAAGGGGGAGAGGGAAAGGGGAGAGGGGATAAGGAGAGTGGGGGAAAGGGGGAGAGGGGGGAAGGGGGAAAGCGGGAAAGAGGGAAGGAGGAGAGGGGGGAAGGGGGAAACGGGGGAAGGGGGAACGGGGGGAATTCGGAAAGGGAGAGATGAAAAAAAAAGAGGATCGCAGAGAGGTTCAAGGCAGAAAGACGACTTTCGTGCGTCTCAAATAAAATTTGCAGACAGGTAGAAGGCAGGGAGACGGGAGGCAGGGTGAGACGGGAGGCAGGGAGACGGGAGGGAGGCAGGGAGAGGGGAGGCAGGGAGAGGGGAGCAAGGTGCAAAAAAACGGCAGAAATTTTGAAATTCTGGTGTATAAAACGCCATCGTAATTTTCGGCCGTTTAGAACGGTTTAAAACGCCAAAATGTTGTAATTTCAATGTGGTGCAAAAAAACGGCGCTTTTTACGGCTAAAATCTTGAAACCAACCAGTGTACACATATTTTCAACTATTGTTTCCAATCATGACCCTCGATTGGATGAACTAGCCATGCGGAAGACCAAGGGGATCTATGTGTGAGACTGTACAACAATGAATTCGGGGAGGAGGAGGATGAAGAGTGTGAGGGGGAGGAGGAGGAGGAGGAGGAGGAGGGTTAAATGAGCGCAACCTAGTTACTCTGCTTGCATTGTATTGCTTCTTTGCTATCCTGGTCAGGAGTGGAGTCGTTTCTACTGTTTTCAAAAAAAAAAAAAAAAAGGTCACAAAATTCTCTAACAAAAAAACGGCCGAAATTTTGAAATCTGACCGTAAAATACAAGCATAGAAAACGGAACGTATTTTACTTTTGCCGAAATTTTGCACCTTGGAGGGGAGGCAGGGAGAGGGGCGGCAGGGTGAGACGGGAGGCAGGGAGACGGGAGGGAGGCAGGGAGAGGGGAGACAGGGAGAGGGGCGGCAGGGAGAGGGGCGGCAGGGAGAGGGGAGGCAGGGAGAGGGGCGGCAGGGAGAGGGGCGGCAGGGAGAGGGGCGGCAGGGAGAGGGGCGGCAGGGAGACACAGGCGTACCTCGGAAGATGGAGACACGTGCAGATACAACGGACGGTCGCGATTCTTTGGATCGTTCATGTTGCAGAACTTGCCCCTGGAGTAAGGCGGGGCGGACATGCAAGCAGGCGGACATGGGGGAAGCGCACATGGGGGAAGCGCACATGGGGGAAGCGCACATGAAGCAATGAGGCGTGGGAGAAGAGAACAATGAGGCGTTGCAAGTCGCAGCTCAAAGCGCAGGTGGAAATTCGCGCCCGTCGGGTTTCGACCGTCTCAAAACTTTAGACACGCAGCAACAAGAACTGAAGACACGCGTAAGCAAGACAACAAGTCAGCAGAACGCATGACAACATGCGTCGCTTGACGCAAGTCAAAACGAGTGCAGAGCAGAGCGCACACCTGGTGGAAATTACTGCGATTTTTTAGTAGACTCAAAAATCGTCTCATCACACGAGTGCAGAGCAGAGCGCATACCTGGTGGAAATTACTGCGCCCGTCTTACGGTGAATCTGCAGTTCATAACAAGTAAGGAAGATGCGGCAAGGGGATGGAAGGGGTGGCAAGTGGGTGGCACGGGATGGGAAGGGGTGGCACGGGATGGGAAGGGGTGGCATGGGATGGGAGGGGGTGGCACAGGATGGGAGGGGGTGGCACGGGATGGCACGCAGGCACAAGGAAAACGACGCAGACACACAGACGCCGAGGCAAGACACGAACGCTTGCTACTAAGACTAAATTAGTATTGAGGCGCCTGATTGTATTGCAGGTAAAGCGACGACTTTCCAGGCGCCTAAGAAACACAGATGCCGAGGCAAGACGCACACGTATGCTAATGAGAGTAAACACAGGCGTATCTCATCACCCTCTCATCCCCCTGATTCAATTTTGAGACGTCTCAAAACTGCTAATGAGAGTAAACACGGGCGTATCTCATCATCGCCCTGCTCCTTCTCATCCCCTGATTCCCCTCATCGCCCTTCCTCCCTCTCGCTTTCTTTATCGAATGAGTGATTAACACAAAATAGGGTTTTGCGACGGGAGTCTACCAAAGAGGCAGACCATGCGCCTGTGGCAAATCTACTCACATCGTCTTGAGTGCCGCGGCGCGTGAGCTGGTAACGCACGTTAGGGTTACACTCGTTAATCACCACCTCCTTGACAATCTCCTCTGGTGGCGGTTTTCCCGGCGGCCCCGCTGCCGCCGTTTCCGGCTTCCGCTGCACGCCTATCCCGCGCTTCGCTAACTCCTCGTTCACTTGCCGAGCCATCATCTCAGCCCTGGCCTTGGCATCGTCCAGGTTCGGACCTGGAGCTGCCGTGCCAGTAAGGCCCGGGATCTGGCCTGACATCATCCCCGGCATTCCCAAGAGAGAAAGTCCGGTAGGGACGGGTTTTCCCGCGGCTGCTAGCGACGCCGCCACGGCGGCTGCGGCGGCGATTGCGGCGGGGGAGGTTCCGGAGGGGATGGTAGAGAGTGCTGCTGCTGCTGGATCTGCCGCTTGATCCCATTTGCTCCGCTTTCTGGGAGGTTAATAGAAATCAATAATTAAAGACGAGAAGGAAGTAGGAAATAAATGAATAAATAAATAAACAGATTTGGATTCAGGACAGTAGGCGAGAGAAAAAAAAGAACGAAGAACGAAGATGAGGGTTTAAGAAGCATTATTGGTTCATATGGACTTATCCCTCGTTGAAGAATTTGTAAGCGCAGATGGCAGGGTACGAACGGAAAGATGCGAAGACGAGACAACCGAGAGGAAAAAAAAAGACACAGAAAACCCCCATAGGAACGATGTACGCACTTATCAGCCGAAAAGTCTGCCATGGTGTGAGAATGGATTCAATGGAGGAAACTAGGAACAATGCTGTACGACCAGAAGATATTTCATCAGAGGCAGGTGGCAGTGGGCAGGAGGAGCTGGTCGGATTACCGCGATGTAAAGTGAATCGTAAACCGCAATTGTATCCACTATGCAGCATTGAAAGAATCCAGTAAGTAAAATGGGAAGTATAAGAAGCATGATTTGGCTCACTAGAAGTTGATGACATTGAAAACATTTTAGCGTACGTTGAAGAACAGACACCAATACACGAATTCATACTCGATACAAGGCTTATGACCACGCTTGGCGAACTTCAAGCATGATACACCCTCTTTCTCACCTATCTCACCGGCGGAAGCACTGGCTACAGTGTTTGGACGTAGCGGTCTGGTGAGATAACTCGGTTGCGGGCAAAGTCGCACGAGGGTTTGAAACACGCCTTGGGCCGTAAAAACCATTAACGTTGAATAACCATCCCAACTGCTTTGAAAACAACAGTACCGTTCCAGAACTTAAAAAATCTTGACTAAACGCCCTGGGTCAAATTGTCACTATAACGCATGTGATAGGACCTTCTTGGGTCCGGTGCGGTCACACTAAGCGTCTTTGCCAGTATAACATATGCCAGTCTATCGAGAATGAGGGTGTACAAGTTCGATTGCCACGCGGGAAACGACTTTGGCCTTTCGACAGCGAATGAGATGGCACGGGCGGAGACAAAAGCTTGCGGGGGAAGCTTGCCCCCTGCAATTTGGATGCGAATCTCTTTCGTCTGTCGTTTACCTGTTGTCGTGTAGCCCGAACAACGGTCTCCATGCCCGCTTACGGTCAGCTGATAAGTTGACTGTGGCACGTGGTGAACAAGCGCCTTGATTTCGCGGCTTGTTGAAAACGCATGCATTGCTGGTGAAGGAAATTATTGAAGTCGACCAATCGTGGACTGACACAAGGCTGCCCGTGAGCCAAATGCTGGTCTAGCCGTGGCAGTGGCAGCAACATTTTCAAGCCGGTCAGCCAAGCTTAACAGTCCGAATCGCAGGATTTCATGTTTCCCGCGTAGTTTCGCAACCACTCCCCCTCCCGCACCGCCTCGTCCCTGCCACCACCAACCAGCCCAATCTTCGCACGAAAACACGAATCTTCCTACTACATTACACGTCACATGAGGGACGATGGCCTTTCCTTTTCTCCAAACGAAACCTCGGAAGAGCGCGGTATACAGTCCAGTCCAGCTCCCCTGCCCGTTCCCCCCATGCCCCCGAGACCTACCCATTCCCCCAAGTCTTTCCCCCCATTCCCCCGACCTTCCAGAACCATCTCCGCCAAACGTCACTCGACGACGACACGCCCCTCACTACTCACTTATCTCCTTCACTTCCCCATAACTCTCCGCTTCACTTATCCCTAGTCGCCTGCATCCACTTACAAATAGAAGTGAGCTTCATTTGCACCTCAATCTTCGCTTCAAGTCCTCAACCTTGGCAGTCGAATTCCCACGTCCGTCACCTTCACTGACGAACCCAGTTTATTATCGCCTTCCTCTTCTCTGCTAAACTGACATCTTTCCGCCGGAGTCGGCCGCTAGATGTCCTTTTAGCTTAGCAAGCAGGCAACTCTCATCACGATTTGGATTTGACCTTTTCATCACGTGTTTCTAATGGCAACCGCTGGCAGCCAAGCTGTTTCCTCTATCCACGGCGCGGCCTTCGCCCATCCCCTCGTTCACGACGTCAGCATCATGAGATCCAACGCGGCGCTGGGCGACGCGCTGGCGACGGCGGAGCGAGCCATCGCAGGCCTCGCGCAGGTAGTCGACGTCGTCAAGCGTCGTCACTCCGCGCCGTCGCAGTTTCATTCACTCGCCGCCCCTCCGCCGCAGTTCCATTTTTATCAGCCGCTGCCATTCCAAGCCAGCTACGTCCCTTGCGCCGCTCCTCTCCCCGCATCTGCCGCCGCATCTCCCGCGTCCTCCTCTGTCTCCCAGCATTCCGCCGGCCCCCGCCCGCGTGTCGCCATCCCGCGCTCAATCGCCGTTTCCGGCTCCAAGCGCAGCGCGGCGGCGCTCGCGACCACCTCGAGACCCGCGCCGCCGCGTGCAAAGCGGGCAAAGCGCGCCAAGCGCTTCGCAACCCCTGAATCTGCTCCGCCCCCGCTCGTCCCTTCCAGCGGCTCCGACTGCGAGTCGGAGACAAGCGGCTCGTCGACTTCGCCGCAAACTGAAGCTCCCGTCGCAGGTGCCGTCGCAGAAGCGGTCGCAGGGCCCGTCGCATACAAGGGCGTGCGACAGCGCAAGTGGGGCAAGTGGGTGTCGGAGATCCGCGAGCCCAACAAGCGCACGCGCATCTGGCTGGGGTCGTTCGACTCGGCGGAAGACGCCGCGCGCGCCTACGACGTCGCCGCGCGCCTGCTGCGCGGATCCCAGGCGGCGCTCAACTTCCCCGGAGATGACACCCATTCTGTTCCGCTTCCGTCGGCGACGGCAGAGGCGCTTCTGAAGGCGAGCCGCGAGGCGGCGAAGACGTTCGATACGGCCGACGTGGCTGATGTCCTGGAGAAGTCGCTGCTTGCTACTAACGGAGCTCTTCTTGGCGCGGATATCACGATTCAGCTCCCGAAGGCTGGACCGGCGGGGACAGCTGCTACAGATGCAGCTGTAGCAGCAGCGGACGCCGCCGCTACAGCTGAGTTGCCTTCCACGTCTGATCTGACCACTAACAGCATGTTCGACAATATTTCCGCGAATTCAATCCCCGCCGTTGATGGCCTCTCCGCGCCTTTCCGCAGCGCCAGCGGAGTCAGCATTGCCTGCAGCGAGAGTGACAGTATCGAGTCGCTTCTGACGGATCTGGAGGAGCAGCACGGCGCTGAGCTGGCGCTGACGGAGGCTGAGCTGTCGGGGAGCCTGTTCCAGGGTGTCATGGAAGATTTTGACCTGGCAGCTGCGTGTGGTGACGTGGAGGGGTTTGAGGGTGCTGCTGACTTCACCATGGACCTGTGGGCGTGAGATACCGTAAACGTGTGTGGATGTGGAATGGGGTACAGTTGCGTATCCAGATTCAGGTTAGGGTTTTGCTCATGGTTTGTTAGTGTGACACACACCCGGTCTGGGATGGTCTATGTGTGGTTCATAAGGCTGTGCAGGGTATCATGTGGCTACTGGCTGAAGAGAATCATGGAGAGAGCACAGCTTGTGGCACGCGGATACTCAAGCGTCGCCTTCTTAGGTCTTGTGCTGTGCTAGCTCTATGATTCCGGTCACATGATGCTCTGCATGCTGTACCTTATAATTGACCCTTGTAATAAGGTTTTCTGCTCATTTCTATCTCTGCTTTATGCCTGGTAAAAATGCTCACTCCTAAGCATGGCTTGAGCTCCATAATGCCACTAAGATTTTTGATGATAATTCTAACTTGTGCATCTTTTTGTGTGTGGCTGTGGATTCTTCATGTGTGTACGCGATATTGCACCTCCGAAACTCCGACCTTGGCGAACACAGCGAACTGACCATCCCCCCGAGGCCACGTCAACAAGACCAAAGTTGATTGCGTTGCGACCTGCAACCGAGCCGAACCCAATTCAACCACGAAGAGACAGAATCGAATCCACCAGTTCCTATCCTCTCCTCTCCTCCCCTCTCCTCAACTCACCACCATTCATACGTACTGTACCAATTACAGTACAGTACAACATACACTACACTGTACAAGCAGTGCAGCAAGGACAGATAGGGTAGGGGGGGGGCAAACTCACTCACACGATTTTTGAAGTTGTCGGCTGTCAGCTGTGCTGTGTTGCATGTTCTATACCTACTGTTGTCCCGTAACTCCCCGTAACTCCCCGTAACTCCCCGCCTCTCCTCTCCCCTCCCTTTCCTCTAGCATTACAGCCCCAGCTTCCTCGACTCCTCCCTCACTCCTCCTCCTCACCCCACCCGCGCTTGCCATCGCTGGACTTTTACCCGTCTGGTTTGCGCTGGTCCCGCAGAGTCGGGAATGTTTCTTTTAGCTCGAGTGTGCATAACGAGGATGAATGCAGTATCCGTAGGAGGAGCAACGGGCTGACGACGACGAAGCTCCACCCACTGACGACGACTTTTATCCGTCTGATTCGGCGGCGGGTCCCTCGCGAACGTTTTCTTTAGCTTGAGTGAACGACGATGAATGCAGTATCAGGAGGAGGAGGAGTAGCGATGAGCTGACGACGGCTGAGCTCAACCTTCAAAACCTTCATTCGCGACCCGTCATTCGCGACCCGTCACTTGCGATCAACTGCGATAGATTCCCCTCGTCGCAACTCCTGACTCGACTGGTAACATATACGAGCGAATCGCGTGGTACTTGCTAACAGCCTACTCGCTATGGTTGCGCGAAACCAGGGACGTGCGGGCGCCGCAGGCACCCCGGGTAACCCGGGGAACAATCAGCAGCGGATAAGATCTCCTCAGGAGATTCCTCAAAGCATCTTGCGCTCCATGATGACGTCAGCGGCGGGGCTCGTCCCCCCGCCGCCGCATTCGCCAGTTCCTGCTAGCGTCACTCCCGCCTTAGATCTGGCCAGCGCTAGTAGCATCTTCGCGCTCCTTAATCCAGATCTAGCGGCTGCGCGGCTCGGGGGAATGGCGCAAGCTGGTAACGTCGGTCGCGGCGGTACTGGCGGCGGCAATAGCGGCGGTTTTAGCGACGGTACTGACGGCGGTATCCGCGGCGGCGGCGGAAACGGGGCGAGGCAAATTCTGGGCTCCGCAGGTGGTTCGCTTCTGGTGGCGGCGGCGGCACGAGCAGCGCCGCATTCGGCGCCGTCAGTTCCGCCGCCGCGCCCGCCGGCGGCGGTATGGCCGGCGGCCCAGCAGATCGGGGCGCATCTGACGGCTAGCTGGGGAAGCATGGCACCCGAGACGCTCAATGCACCCGTTACAAGCAATCGGGGTTCCGTTATAAGCATACCTGGTGGTAGTAACGGGGACAGGTCTATGGGTAGCGGCGATACTCAATGTGGCACATGGGCCCTAGGTCAGGTAGGTCTTTCATCTGGAAATATTGGTAGAACTTTCCAGACGATTCAGCCAGCTGCACAGGCGTTACTCGGTCAGGTGAATCCTCAGGTGAATAATCAGGTGGCTCCTCCGCGCCCTATTGCGGAGTTGCTTCTGGGCCAGTATCTTTTGGCTAAGCAGCAGCAGCAGCAGCAGCAGCAGCAGCAGCAGCAGCAGCAGCAGCAGCAGCAGCAGCAGCAGCAGCAGCAGCAGCAGCAGCAGCAGCAGCAGCAGCAGCAGCAGCAGCAGCAGCAGCAGCAGCAGCAGCAACAGCAGCGGCAGCAGCAGCAGTCGCAGCAGCAGAAGCAACAGCAACAGCAGCAACAGCAACAGCAGCAGTGGCAATTAGGCAATAGATTAGATTCGCCCTGCCTACCTTTGCCACGCACCACCACAACCGGCAACAACATGTCCCTCTCGTTACAGTCACAACCCAGCCCCATGTCAGTGGCGGCGTTACAGTCACAACCCAGCCCCATGTCCGTGTCCGTGTCTGCAGCAGACTATCTTGATCTCGCTGCGTGCGCCTCTCTTCCCCAAGCCAGCAGCCCTTCCCTCTCCTCCCAGCCACCACTGCAACGCGGCACGCCAACAGGAGCAGGAGGAGCGGGAGTAGGAGGAGCAGGAGCAGGAGCAGGAGCGGGAGTAGGAGCAGGAGGAGCAGGAGCAGGAGCAGGAGCGGGAGTAGGAGCAGGAGGAGCAGGAGCAGGAGCAGGAGGAGCAGGAGCAGGAGCAGGAGCGGGAGTAGGAGCAGGAGGAGCAGGAGCAGGAGCAGGAGCGGGAGTAGGAGCAGGAGGAGCAGCAGGAGGAGTAGTAGGCTATGCAGCAGAAATTCGTTCTGGAAGCAGGTTTGGCATGGGCATGGGGGCAGGGGCGGCTATGGTTGCAGGTGGATCCGCGTCTGCGGAAGGCATGCGTCCATTGAGTATGTATGCTGGGGGAGGAGCAGCCGTTGGAGCAATGCCAGCAGCCTTATTGGCAGCAGCAGCTATGCCAGTGCCAAGAGCAGCAGTGGGAAGAGAAGTGGCAGCGGAAGGCATGCGTTCTTTGGGTGCGTTTGGCGGAGGCGAAACAGCACGTGGGGCATTAGCAATCGGAGTCCCATCGGCACCAGCAGCAGCAGCAGAAGCAGCTGTGGCAGCAGAAGTGCAATCTCTAGAGGCTCTAGAACGGCTTCTGAATCTGGACTCCGCTTCTGTGCCCCATGCATCTTCTCTTCATGCACCGTCGGAGAATTTTCAGAATGCTGAAAGGTCGAGTGAGCAGATGCGAGAGCAGGTGCTGGATTTAGACTCGGCTGCTGCGCTGCTGGGGCGAGTGGAGCGGCTGAGAGCACAGCTGGTGGAGAGGAAACGGCTGCTGGAACAGCAATCGATGCTGCAGCAGCAGCAACAGCCGCAGCAGCAGCAACAAGAACAGTCTCAGCAGCGGCAGCAGCAGCAGCAGCAGCAGCAGCAGCAACAACAACAGCAGCAGTTTCAGCAGCAGCCACAGCAGCAGCAGCAGCAGTTTCAGCAGCATTTGCAGCAGGAGCAACAACAGCAACAACATCAGCAGGTGCAGCAGCAACAGCAGCAACAACAGCAGCAACAGCAGCATCAGGTTCAGCAGCAGCAACAGCAACAACGACAACAGCAACAGCAGCGGCAGCAGCAGCTGGAGCAGCAGCAACAAGAGCAGCAGCAACAAGAGCAGGGCGAGGTGTTTCTCCAGCAGCTGCAACAGCTGCAGCAGAGAGAGCTGCAGGCGCTGCTGCTAATGCATCTGCAGAAAGAAATGATGGAGCAGCAGAAACGTGTGCACACACAGGGGCAGGGGCAGGGGCAGGGGCAGGGGCAGGGGCAGGGGCAGGGGCAGGGGCAGGCGCAAGGGCAGGGGCAGCGGCAGGAGCAGGGGCAAGGGCAGGGGCAGGGGCAGGGGCAAGGGCTGGGACAAGCACACGGGAAGGGGCAGGGGCAGGGGCAGGGGCAGGGGCAGGGGCAGGGGCAGGGGCAGGGGCAAGGGCAAGGGCAAGGGCTGGGCCAGGGGCAAAGGGAGGCCACGGTGCAGCAGGCACAGCTACAGCTACAGCTACAGCTACAGCAAGCAGTCCAGCTACAGCCGTCACAGCATCACATGGAGCAGCAGGTTCAGCTACAACCGTCGCAGCAGCAGGCACAGCTACAGCCGTCACAGCAGCAGGTGCAGCTGCAGGCACAGCTACAGCCGTCACAGCAGCAGGTGCAAGCACCACAGACACTAGCAGATCTGCAGCGAATGCTATTGGCGAAAGGGTTGAACACTCCCCTTCAAGCATCCTTGCAGCAGCAGCAGCAACGGCTACAGCTGCAGCCACAGCCACAGCCACAGTTACAACAACAGATGCAGCCACAGCTACAGTTACAACAACAGATGCAGCCACAGCTACAGCAACAGTTGCAGCCACAGCTACAGAATCAGGTTGTAGCAGTGCATGGGGTGAGCAATGCAGGAGGAGGTGAAGGGGGATTGGGATCAGAAGCAAGTGGAGAACCAGTGACAGGAGGAGCTATGGCAGGAATGACAGTGCAGATGCTACCTGTCGGGTCACCACCACCAGCGGCAGCAGCAACAGCAGCAGCAGCTGTTGCAATGCCAGCATCGGCAGCAGAAGCACTGCCAAGAGCGGGTATTTATTACACAGGCGGAAGCCCAGCGTCCACCAGGCAGCTCACGCGAGCAGCACCGGATGCGATGGAGTGGAACAGCCCAATCCAAAGCGCAGTATCCGCACCAGTGGCATCGCCTCCGAGTTTTGAGGCATCTCAAAACCCAATCCGTAGCATAATAGTCTCGGCAGTGGCATTGCCTCCAGAGGCTATGGGGCTCAGTGCTGGCGATTTGCCACCCAACACAGCAGCAGCAGCAGCAGCAGCAGCAGCAGCAGCAGCAGCAGCAGCAGTAGCACCACCACCACCACCAGTAGCAGCAGCAGCAGCAGCAGCAGCAGCAGCAACAGCAGGGGCAGTGGTGTCAGCAGCAGCGCCAGGGGTTATGGGACTCAGTTCGGGTGAGTTGCCTTCCAACACAGCAGCAGCAGAGGCATCATTGCCGGAGGTTTTGAGCCTGAGTGGGGGTGAGCTGCCGCCGAACCTGGCGGCAGCAGTGGAGGAATTGCAACGAGTTTTAGCGTCCTCCCAGCAGCAGCAGCAGCTGCTGGATCGGCACTCCCAACAGCACACACAGGAGCAGCAGCAGCAACAGACACCACAGCAGCAGCAAATGGCGCAGCAGCAGACACAGCAGGGGCAGGAGGACAGACAGAGGGCAGCGCAGCAGGAGGGAGGGGAGGGTGTAGGGGGAATGGGCGGTTTCGGTGTGATTGTAAACGAGGAGGGTCTATCGAAGGGCACGTGGTTACCAGAGGAGGATCGAGTGCTGATGGAGTATGTGGAGTGTTACGGGGCCAAAAACTGGGGTAATCTGGTAACCAAGGGGCTGCTGAGACGCTCTGGGAAGAGCTGCAGGCTGCGATGGGTGAACCAGCTGAAGCCAGGCCTGCAGGTACGGAATGAGTCGAACCAGGTCTTCGAGCGAGGGCTCTATCATTGACCTAGACCACCACCGTGCTTGTTATGACCAAGTGAGGAAGATGATCCAGAGAGGGAGTTTCTTCTTGAGTCGCTCCCATGCTGCCTATCTGGCTGCTTTGCAGCTCTGTGTGGAGGATGTCAGCTTATTTTAGGCCGAATAGCTTTTGTAAGTTTTCCCAAATGCCAAAAGAAAACTTACAAAAGCTTTTCGGCCTCAAATAAGCTGACATCCTCCACACAGAGCTGCAAAGAAGCTAGATAGGCAGCATGGGAGCGACTCAAGAAAAAACTCCCCCTCTGGATCATCTTCCTCACTTAATCATAACAAGCACGGTGGTGGACTAGGTCAATGATAGACTCCTCGCTCCAGGTACTCCCTAACATCACCTGGATGCTGAAGAGTTAATTATAGTGCAGGCCACCGTTGCAAGTGGACGGTGGTTACGCGAGAAGCTGCGGGCATGGCAAGACAATGTGTTTCCAATTCTTGCAGTGTTCTTTTCCCACCCAATGGCACAGTGTATGCTGCTGACTCGGCTACAACCAGTCCTCCTCCCATCAGCTTCCCTCCTTGCTCGTTCCTTTGTGCCCCTTCCGCCCTTTGTTTGCAGAGGTACGGTGGAAAGGGCTGCAAGCGGTTCACGGAGCAGGAGTCCAACATGGTGCTCGCCCTACAGGTAATGCACTTGTGATGTGAGGCGGCGTTCGTATGCTGGGCGTGCAGTGCAGTCCGTCTCACCACATATGCACGCGCATACATGATGAGTTGCAAGTGGACGGTGGTTACATGTTGCTGCTGCTGAGAGCGGGGAGGCTGCTGCTAGTGGCAGTGCTAGTGCTGCTGGTTCTGCTGCTGATTTAAGCTTCTCTCCTCCTCCTCCCCTTGTCTGCCTCCATCAGGAGTCCCTGGGCAACAAGTGGGCGCAGATTTCAAAGCACCTGCCGGGGCGGACGGACAACGATGTGAAGAACTTTTGGAACCTGCACCTCAAGCGGATGGAGCGGCTGCGACGGCAGAGGGAGCAGAAAGGGGGCCATGCTGCTGCTGCTGAGAGCGGGGAGGCTGCTGCTAGTGGCGGTGCTACTAGCAGTGGTGGTGCTACAGGTGCTGCTGTTGCTGGTGGTTCTGCTGGTGGTGCTGATGGTGCCGGTTGTAAAAGTGATGCTGGTGCTGGCGGTGATGGTGGTGGTGCTGCTGCTGCTGGCAATGGCGATGCCTGTGCTTCTTCTGCTGCTGTCCCTGCTGATGGCGCTGCAGTTTCAACACCTGCTGCTATTGATGCTGCTACTGCTGCTGCTTGTGTTACTGCTGCCGCTGCTGTGTCTGCAGGAAATACAGAAGATACGACCAATGAAGGTGCTGCAGGGAACGGTGCTGGGAATGGTGCTGGGGGGAATGAAGGGTTCAGTGAGCACAGCCATGCTCATTCAGAAGGCAGGAGATCAGAAGGTAAGGGGAAGCCGGAGGCAGTAACGGACGGCGCAACAGCAATCGAGGGCGCATCAGCAAGGGGGAACGTAGCAGCAGCCAGCGCAGCAGCAGCAGCAAGCAAAGGAAGCTCAGGTCAAATGACCGCTCAAGGCGGGAGCAGCAGCGGCGGCGGCGGCGGCAGCCTTGCCATACTTGAGAGCACGAGCCTGTCTTTGAGACGTCCCAAAAACACATTGTATACACGTAGCAGCAGCGGCGGCGACGACGACGGCGGCGGCGGCGGTGGCGGCAGCCTTGCCGTGCTTGAGAGCACGAGCCTGTCTCCCTCCTTCTTCCTCTTCTCCCCCAGCTCGTTCACCTCCCCCATGTCTATCAGCCCGCTGCCCACCATCCAGGAAGGCCCTGACGCCCTTCAAACCCGAGAAGGGCTGGATGTTGTTGCTAAGATGCATGGCGATGTGGGTCAGGTGCGAGGAGGTGTGCCTTTTGAGACGTCTCAAAGGTCCTTTCATACCAGAGAAGGGTTGGATGTTGTTGCTCAGATGCATGGCCATGTGGGTGAGGTGCAAGAAGGTGGGCCCTCTGATGCTGCATTGGAATGGGGCGTGGCTACGGCTTCTCATGCTGCTGCTGGTGATGCTGTCGGTGAGGTTCCCACAGTTTGGCTGCAAGAGCCGAAGCACCAGCAACAGCAGCAACAGCAACAGCAGCAACAGCAACAGCAGCAACAGCAACAGCAGCAAGAGCAGCAACAGCGGCAACAGCAACAGCAGCAACAGAAACAGCAGCAACAGCAACAGCAACTGCAGCAACAGCAACAGCAACAGCAGCTGCAAGAGCACCAGCAGCAACAGCAGCAACAGCATAACCAACAGCAGAAGCACCAGCACCAGCAACAACAGCAGCCGCAGCAGCAGCAACAACAAGAGCACCATCAGCAGCAGCAGCAGCAGCAGCAGCAGCAGCAGCAGCAGCTTCAATGGGAGCAACAGCAACAACAGCAGCCGCAGCAGCAGCTTCAATGGGAGCAACAGCAACAACAGCAGCCGCAGCAGCAGCTTCAATGGGAGCAACAGCAACAACAGCAGCCGCAGCAGCAGCTTCAATGGGAGCAACAGCAACAACAGCAGCCGCATCTGCAGCAACATCAACTTCAGCAGCAGCAGCAGCAGCGCCACCACCACCAGCCAGCAGCTCAAGCATTCCCTGAGGCGCCTCAGAAGCTCAGGCACACCCAGAGGACAATCCGTCAACCCCCACTACCGCCAGCAGAGAAGCAGCTTCTACACCAGCCGCCAGCGCAGGTGCCAGCGCAGGTTCAGCAGCCAGCAGCTCAAGCATTCCCTGAGGCGCCTCAGAAGCTCAGGCACACCCAGAGAACAATCCGGCAGCCCCCACTACCACCAGCAGAGAAGCAGCTATTACACCAGCCGCCAGCGCAGGTGCCGGCATCGGCTGTAGCGCGGCCGCAGGCAGTGAGGCGAAGCAGGACAGGGGAGCAGCGGCCTAAGGTGTCGCTGCACCAGAGGAGGCTCCAGCGAAACGCATCTGCTAGCGCTGTGGCTGGAAGCGGTGCGAGCAGTGAGAGTGGTGCAGGTGGTGTGAGCGGTGCTAGCGGTGGGAGTGGTGGGAGTGGTGGGGGGTCTGCGAGTGTTGGGGGGTCTGTGAGTGGTGCGAGTGGCGGGGACGATGGTGGTGTGAGGGAGGGAGGGGAAGGAGGAGGGGAGCAGCGGGTGCTGAGAGCGAGCAGTCTGCCGAATGTGCCCAGAGCTGGCAGCTGGAGGGACGGTGGGAGCTTTGGAGGGGCGGATGGGAGCTTTGGAGGGGCGGATGGGGGGAGGTGGACGATGGGAGAGGCGGCTGCGGCTGCTGTGGCAGCTGTAGGTGAGTGTCAGCAGGATGAAGCAGCCGTTGCCACTGCTGGTGCTGATGCTGCGGTTGTTGCTGATCCTGCTGCTGATCCTGCTGCTGTTCCTGCTGCTGCTGCTGCTGCTGCTGCTGCTTCTGCTGCCGCTACTGCTGCTGCCATTGCAATGGGTCATGATCCCACCGCTCTAGCGGCCAGTGATAGCACTTGGAAATATTCCAGTCCACCTGCACATCAGCCGGCTGGGCCTGCTGCAGGAACTATTCAACAATCCAAGCATACGTCGGAACCGTCAACCACTCAAGAACGCACAAGCTCTCCTGTCGCTGCTCCTCCTGGTTCTGTGCTTGTTAGCTCAACTCCTCTGATAAAATCTGCACCCGGAGCTCCTTCTGCTGCTGCCAGTAGTGGTGACGCTGATGCTGGTGCAAGTGGCGCTGGCACTGGTGCTGCCGCTGGTGCTGGTACTGGTGCTAGTGCTGCGGGTGCTGCTGCTGGTGGCGGTGCCGCTGTTGCTGCTGACGGTGCTGGTGGTGCTGGTTCTAGTGCTGCTGGTGCCACTGGTGCTGCTGCGGCTGATGGGAATGCAGCTGCTGCTGGTGCAGGGTCAGCAGATGGGCCGGCAGCAATGGACATGGAGGAAAGTGCGGATAAGATTTCATCCCTCAAAATCGGTGAGCTCAACAGCACAGCCTGTCCGTGTTTGGCTGTGGTTGTGGGTTTGGGTTTGGGTTTGGTTGTGACTTTTGAGTCGACTCAGATTTCATCCCTCAAAACCGGTGAGCTCAACAGCACAGCCTGTCCGTGTTTGGCTGTGGGTTTGGGTTTGGTTGTGGATTCTGGAATCTGGCTCCCCTTTGGGTCCGTTCTTGGGTTTCGCCTCTTCCTCGCCCTCCGTGCTACCCTCCCCCAGCCCGCTCTCCTCGCCCACCGTTCCTCTGTGGCTTTATGCCCCCATTCTATTCCCCACGCATTGCCTCGTGCCAACCAAGAGGCAAGTCGCACAGGCCAACTCCCTTCCTTTCCCGCGCCTCTGCATTCCTTCCTCTGGCCCCCCCCTTTGCCTCCCCTCCCTGCGTCCCCTCCTGCGCCCTCGCTGCACTCTCCCCTCCCACAGACTGCCACAAGCCTGCCAGCAGCAGTGGCCCAGCAGCCTCTGGCGAGTTCCTCAGCATTGAAGACTGGCTGCAAATCCCCACTCCCTCCCCTTCCCATCCCTCTGACTCCCTTCCCTGCATCCTTCCCTCTGCCTTCCCCTCCGCTCCCCCCCACTCCCTCTCCCCTCACAGACTGCCACAAGCCTGCCAGCAGCGACAGCAGCAGCGGCCCAGCAGCCTCTGGCGAGTTTCTCAACATAGAAGACTGGCTGCAAACCCCCACTCCCCCTCCTCGCCGCACCCCCTGCTCGCCTTTCTACATCAACCTCTCCCCCACCGCCCGCCGCCTCCGCTCCCCCCGCTCCCCCTCCCCCCGCACGGTTGCTCAGCAGCAGCAGCACCCGCCTGCTTCCCCCCGCCCGCTTGCCTCATGGTTCTCCCCCCGATCGGAACGGCTCCCTCCCCGCTCACACTCCCACTCACACTCACACGGTCACTCCCACTCGCATGCTCACTCGCAGAATCACTCTCACAACCAGTCTGATACTCACGGGCACTTGCATGGTAGGGCGGCTCTGCCTCCCCAGAGCAGCCGGGGCAATCGAAGCAGCAGCAGCAGTGGTAGTGGCAGCGGTGCCAGTGGGGGTGCTGGCAGTGGTAATGGTGATGGTGCTGCTGCTGCTGCTGCTGCTGCTGCTGGTTATGCTGGTGATGGTGGTGGGGCTGCTGGTAGTGGTGGAAGTGGTGGAAGTGGTGGAAGTGGTGGAAGTGGTGGAAGTGCCGGTAATTCTGGCAGCGACGGCAGTGCTGGCAGCGGTGGTTCCGCCACAGCTACCAGACCAAGCGCAGGCACAGCAGCAACACCCGACCCTCCTCCCAGCAACACCAACGCAAACCCCATCCCAGAAAACCCAACCTCCCATCACTCAGCCCCCTCAGAGCACTCAGCCCCTTCAGATCACTCCACTCCTGCAATCCCGCTGCCCGACCCGAGTCCCTCTCTCAGCCAAATTCCCGCCCGACCTTTCGGCGAATCAGCAAGTCAGCGCAGCGGGCGGCGCAGCCCATTGGGAGCTCTCAAGATTGCCCACCGGTCGGGGTACCTCTGGTCCCCCCGTGCCGCCGTCTCTTCACCCCGCACCACCCACAACTCCTCCTCCTCCTCCTCCCCTTCCCCCAGGCCTGGCGGATCTGGCAGCGCCCTCTCCACCCCCTCCCCCCTCAGCATGCTTTCCCCCTCCTCCCGCCCCTCCCCCCGCCCTTCCCCCCGTGGCGGATTGCCCTCCCCTTCCCCCCGCAATCTGCCGTCCCCCTCCCCCCGCTCCGTGCACTCCCCGTCCCCACGAGCCTACGGCAGATCAGGGCTCGCTTTGCCTTCTCCTCCCGCTCACCCCTCCTCCTCTTCGAGTCCACACCACCCGTCCTCGTCCTCGCGCCCTCCCCGGTCTAGAAGCAGCAGCCCCTGTCCACGTCCGCCCAGCAGCCCGCGGCATCCCCGTGGGGGTACTGCTGCTGCTGCTGCTGCTGCCTCCCATCCGCCCACTGCTCCTTCGTGCCTTGGTGTGCCTGCTTCCAGTGTAAGTGCAAGTGCCAGCGCCAGCGCCAGTGCAAACGCGAGTGCAGGTGCAAGCACCAAAGAAGTGCGTGCTTCCAGTGCAAACGCAAGTGCAGGTGCAAGTGACAGAGAAAGAGGAATTGATGGAGAGGGGCAAGGTGAGATGGGGAAGTGTGGAATGACTGTGCATGCTCCATCTGGCGCCGATGCTGGAAACCACACTCTGCCTCAGCTACAGCAGCAGCAGCAGCAGCGACAGCAGTGGGAGGAGCAGGTGGGAGAAGAATTGCAGGATGGGAGAGGAGGGCAACAGCAGCAGCAGCAGCAGCAGATGCCACAGGGAGTGGTGCAGCATATCTTACCAACCACTGGGGAGCCAGAGCCAGTCCTGCCAGCATACTCCAGCCAATCACTGTGGGCGTTCGTAGCGGAGATTGACGGCCCAGATGCGTTCGCTGGAGGCGTGGGCACAGAGGAGGATGATGCTGGTAGCGGCGGGGGTGGCTTTCAGGAGTCGCTTGCAATGGCTGCAGGTCAAGGGCAGACAGCCGCATCCCTTGACATGCATGATCTTGAACAATTCCTTATGGGAGATGAATGTGCTGCCGACATGTCGGGCTGTGATTGGCCCAGCAGCGTTGGAAACCCTGGGCTGGGGACTGGCCCGGGCGAGATCGCAGAAGCTGGAGGGATACAGGAGCAAGGAGGGGGGGAAACAGAAGCTGCAATAGGAGTAACCCCTGCCATAGATGGTGCAATAGCAACTCCTCTGGGTGAGAGGTCGACGGATGGGGATGTGGCAGATGTGAGTGCAGTGGGGCATCTACTCTTTGATGATTCGTCAGCCATGCAGCAGCTGAGTGCTGATTGGCTGACTGATTTCCAGAGGAGCAATTACGCTGGTTTCACCCCTGACACTGGGGCTGCTCTGGTGCCTGGGGCAACGGCTGCAGCACAACAAGCAGTCCTGGCATCAGCTGAGCATGCAACTGGACTGCCATCATCAGGGGGACCCTCTCTGCCGGTGCAGCAGGGGGTGTGGCAGCTTGGGGCGGCCAAGGGCAGGCAACCCAGTCAGGATGGGTCTGGTGCAGGAGGAGAGTACCACTGGGGACAGGGCTTTGTGCCTTGACATGTCATTGACATGTGTCAATCTTTTGGTGAATCATGATGTTGCTGATGCCAAGCATCATTGGATTCAGGACTTCATATGGTAGTTTAGTCCTTGGTCCTGCAGCAAGTGAGAAATCAGTTTTAGGCAAACTTGAGTCTCTACAGTATTGTGCATTACCTTGTAGAACACGGTACCATATGAAGTGTAAGGGGAGGGTTTCGTTCAGCTGCTCGGGCTTGCTTCTTTCACAGTATGTTTCCATTCCACAATGGAGTTACAATGTAGAACAGGCCAGTAGGCATTGGATGCTGTGGTATTGGCCATGTTGGTTGCTCTTCAGAACCCAATCACTGCAAGCAGATGGATTGAATTAGGCACTAAGAACAGGACAGTACATCACAATAGCTCCAAAATGGCCGATACCAAGCCCAACGCCTCCCTGGCGAAAGGCAGGAGGACAGTAGAGGCGGAACAGAAGCAGCAGCAGTACAGTGGGCGAGGAGGTTTAGATGATGCCGATCTTGTTGGCAATGTCCAGAGCATCGTAGTCTGCTGTCAGCCGCACGTACGCCTTCTTCTGTCCGTCAGGCCTGCCACGTCACAGGGTGACGGATTTGGGGGGAAGAGGAAATCAAAACGTTAGATTGCGAAATTCCAAGTGCAAGCGGCGAACGTCCTTCATTCTGCCATTCTTATCAAGTCCTTATTATGTCTCTCTTTGCCCCTAAGAGTAGGTTCGACCTCCGGTGGCCTGATGCTCAAGCGATCAAAATTATCTCCTGAATTTCCTCCATCAGTGAGCGTTACAGGGATTAAGAAACGAAATTTCGAGGAAAACTGAGCCTTACGGGGATTAAGAAACGAAATCACTTACCTGATGAGTGTGTTGATCTTCTTGCACTGGATGTCGTACATCTTCCTGACGGCCTCCTTGATCTGCCTCTTGGTGGCCAGCAGATCCACAATGAACACCAGCGTGTTGTTGTCCTCAATCTTCTTCATTGCGGACTCAGTCGTCAGCGGGAACTTCAGCACCTGGGAGGGCGAGTAATAACGGGGATAATGACAGAGGGAAAAAGGTACAGAAACGTCAGAATTGTGACAAAGTTGTTTCCAAACATTTTCTTCATCCACTACTGCGTGGACAATAGGACATTCACACCTCATATGAAGGGGAATCAACAAAAACTTTGGCACGAGAATGTCAGCTACGTAGAGCTTGTCTGCATCCCGCATTCTCTTTAGTGACTGTCAGCATATGCATCCGTGACACTGGGTTATCTGCACTTAGGAATGGCTCTGTGAAAACGCGTCTCAAAATCTTTTTTACTAGCCGTTTTGATGAACGACAGCTCGGAATGGCTCTGACAAGTCATTCGGAAAATTTATGAATCTCCGAGTCCTTATAAGTAGCCGTTCAAGTAATCGGCAGCTTGAAATGCCTCTGACCAGGCGTTCGACAACCGGCGGTCTGAAGAAGTCTCTGACCCGACGTTTAAAAAATATCTACGGTCTTCAAGTGCTTGGAATTCGTCGTTCAGGAAAGCAGCGATCGGAGTATCCTGACTACTCTTAGGGATCCTAGAATCGCGGAATGTCGTGGACCGGTCAGTCAGATGTCTAAGCTATCATCACGTTTGCATCAGACGTCCTATTGACGACATAATTAACGACTAGCCTGAATTCCACTGGCCAGAAAGTGACGATCCTTTCAGGAGCACCGGCGCCTACTCCTAGTCGTCGGAGAACCTCTCGTGATGGAAGCGAATGGAGGCGATCTCCATCTGCTATTCGAACAGTCAGCGTCAGCAACACGTAGCGCCATGCGTGCTACAAGAAGCCACTAACCACCTTAGCTAACTTCGCAGAACCTTGAAAAGCATCGCGTGAGATATTCGCCTCTCGAAGCTTGTCATCTCCAAAGTGGACAGCACTATTACTACAGAAGGCTGGCACGCCCACCACTGACCTGCTCTTCCCATTTGAACATTCAGGACGATAGCAAACGATAATACGCAAACCGTAACAAAGGATCATGAAAAGTTCCACTCACCCGGAACTGGTCGAGCTTCTGCATGGGAGGAGCCGAGATTCTGGGGTACTTGGGGCTGCGAGCCTTCTTCAGGGTCTTGGGCCGGTGGAAGTGCACGGACGTCCGGACCTTGAGGATCTTCTTCCTGCTCGTCTTCTTCAGGGCCTTGGCGGCCTTTGCGGCTTGTGCCTTGGCATCGGGCTTGCCTGGTGAAGGGAAAAAGGGGTGAGGGAAATGATATTTGAGTCGACTCAAAGAACGTCCGGACCTTAAGGATCTGCTTCCTGCTCGTCTTCTTCAGGGCGTTCGCGGCCTTTGCGGCTTGTACCTTAGCATCGGGCTTGACACATGGTGAATGAAACAAGGGTGAGCGAGCCACCGGAAAAAGTTTGACGGGTAAAGGAGAAACGTAGTCTGATTCTGGAATAATCCGCATAACACTGATGTACGTAATGTGAACCAGTCGGTTCGATGATGACAATGAACGATACGAGCGGTATCTGTTTCTTCAACCCTAACATTCCGTGCCGCGGATACTAAGAGAAAACTCCGGGAGAAATAGCCCGCACGAATCGCATCAACGACCACCTTCAAGGGTCACGGACACACCGGCTGGCTGTAAGAAACCCTAATCCAAAGGCTGGTCACATTCTGCTCAACTTTTGCCCTAATTTTCCACCATGATGAATCCACAGTACGATCGAAACCCCAGAACGAAACCGGAAACATCAGACTAGACGGCGGGTAACATTGTCGCGCCCTCACCTTTGGGCGCCATGGCTACTTCTGCGACTAGACGGTGTGAGAGTTACAAGAGAGGGACCACCCCAGGGCAGAAAGGAAGGTGGAAGAGGGGAGAGACTGGGCTTTGAAAACGTAGCTGCTCTGTGCAGTCAGAGAGGCGCAAGCGAAACAATTCCCAAGGGAAGGGGAGGGCGGAGGAGAACATGAAGCAAATTGATAGTCAGTACAGTACCGACGGAAACTGAACTGTCGTGACAAGAAACGAGAAGTAAAGTACCGAGGATGATACTCGCACGGTCATTTGGGATTTGCGGATGGGCTCTCATCCTTGCCTCAATAAGTTGAAATATCGGAGAACCTCGTGAGTGCAGAAGTACACTAACTGATAGAATACAGCAACGAATACCACTTGAATTTAGTCAGTTTGTGCACAAAAGAACACACAAACATGAAAAGGCCTGAATTCATATTCACTCTTCCAAGTAGACTATATCATTGTACGGTATATTCAGTTAAGCAGCGAGAACAGCTGCAAGATCTTCTGACTTCCCTCGCACGTAGATTGTGTACACCAAACGAATTGCATCCACCCACGCATCCATAGAGTCCCAATCGTCCGCCACCTGCATCAAGCGCACAATAGATGAAACCCAAACATGAGAGGGCACAAGCGAGCAAGGACCAGAAATTGAAACCATCCTAACTTTAAATCAGACTTCAGCAACTGCATTTTATGCAGCCTAGCAACTACACTCACCATGTAAAATGGCCCATCTACAGTGTCCAGCACAATGCCTCCGCCAGCCGGCAGGCTGAGATCAGCACAAGCCTCCACTGACACAATCTGGCCAACATCCACTTGAATCGGTGGAGGCGGCAGTGCAGAAACTCCACCCTCGAGGCTAGACGACAAATTAGGCCGCCCACCCATCGCCCCGTCTGACCACCTTCCCTCGTCTGACATGGCAGCAGCTGAACCAGGGGTTCCGGCATTGGCAGGCGCGACAGGAGCGGCAGCAGTGGTGGGAGCAGGTTCAAGCTTTTGGACGATCGAAGCTGTTACAGAGGTCTGGGAGTGGGCTGTGTTGCGGCGGGAGGTCAGGTTGCTGTGGGGTTGCTTAGGCTCAGGCTTCTTACCCTGGGGGAATTGAGAGGGAAGGATGAAGGGCGAGAAAAAATGGGTCAGGGTGGCAAGTGAGAGGGGAGTGAGAAGAGAGTGTGAGGGAGCGTGCGGAGAGCGTGAGGAGAGTGTGACGGAGAGTGTGTGGAGATTGAGGAGAACAACTTACACAGCATGGCCCCTAGCAACAGAGACCCCAACAGGCTTCCAGGCACCAAACAAACCCTTTTCAAGACACTCAAGCACGCACATTTTTCAGCCGCACACAACGAGAGCAGCACGCACCTCCTTGAGCCGTTCATGGTCCAGCACAAACCAGAGCCTGAGCCACTCCGCATGGGGAGCCAATGAGTTGCCGCCAGGTGGCACTGTGAGGTAGCCGCCCTTGAGATACGGGAGGGGCAGCTGGGCACGCATGGACATAAGGTGGTGAGAGGGAAAGAAAGGGATGGGGAATTAGTTATGTTACTCCTGATCACTGCTGTGGCAGCTAGATAATTTAAGTTTCTTATCTGATGGCATGGCAGTGGCACTGAACTGACTGTTGAGTCGCCTTGAAAATGGCATGAAAAACTTAGTGAAATCACTGCGATGGACCTATCATCAGTGGTGGTACACTTATGACAGTGGTAGAATCATATGTGTGAGGTTTAGGATTCCTCTGTTCTTATATAAAAGTGCACGTCCTTGTATGTGTATGGGCAGGTGCGTGTGCGAGTGCGTGTGCGAGTGTGTGTGCGAGTGCGTGTGCAAGTGCATATGCAACGGAATGTGTGTGTGCATGTGAGGGTGCTTGGGGAGATGCATGTGCACTTGTGAGCGCGTATGCATGTGTGTGTGCATGTGAGGGTGCTTGGGGAGATGCATGTGCACTTGCGAGCGCATATGCATGTTTGTGTGCGTGTGCTTGTGCTGTGCGTGTGCCTGAGTGCATGTGTTCTACACAGCTCACCATGGTGCGCACGAGCCGAAGAGCATTGCGGTACACCTGAGTCATCCCAATTGTCCAGGCCAGGGGACGATATGCACACACACACACACACGCGGGAAGAAAGGCAAGATTCAGTGAGAGTCGGTTCTTCAGGCACCTCAACGATGCAGTGAGAGGAAACATCAGACATGCCCGAAAGTTGCAATGAAAAACGCATCTCGCATATGCATGTGCATATGCATGTGGATGGGGCATGTGCATATGCATGTGCATATGCATGTGGAAGGGGCATGCGCATATGCATGGATGTCTCCTCACCTCCTCTCTCCCTCACTCAATTTCTCCCCCCCGAACATCAACTCTCCTCGTTATCCTTGCTCGCTCACAGGGTGGTTTTTGAGAATTCTCAAAAACCACCTCCTCTCCCCCTCACTCAATTTCTCCTCCCCACACATTCCCTCTCCTCGTTATCCTTGCTCGCTCACAGGGTGGTCCGATTTGAGCATGTGAGCAGCAGCGATGTACACAGCAGACTGGCTGTAGATTGCTCGGGTGTGTGGTGCAGTCAGAAAGCAGGCCTCCCTTCTCCCCTCTCCTCTCTTTTGCTCTTTTAACTCCCCACTCAGCACACTCACGGGGTAATCAGCCTTGAGGGGCGTGAGCAGGAGCGACGTACACAGCGGACTGGCTGTAGACATCGTTGACCGGGTGTTTTGAGACGTCTCAAAACACTTCTTCATACACGTGCTGAGAGTGGCCAGGCATACGGCTACCACCCAGCTCGCACTCTCTCTTCCCCCCTTGCCCACTCACAGGGTAATCAGCCTTGAGAGCATGAGCAGCAGCGATGTAGACAGCAGATTGGCTGTAGACCTCGTTGGCAGGGTGGGTGGTGCGGTCGGGCATGACCCCCGTCTTGCTCTTCGCCTGCTTCATTGTGTCCTCTGCCAAGCCGTACTGAAGCAGAGACGACGGGGGGAAGAGGGGAGGGGAGGGGGTGAAAGCAACGAGGGTGGGTGGCAACATAGCATAGGGTGGGTGGTGCGGTCGGGCATGACCCCCGTCTTGCTCTTCGCCTGCTTCATTGTGTCCTCTGCCAAGCCGTACTGAAGCAGAGACGACGGGGGGAAGAGGGGAGGGGAGGGGGTGAAAGCAACGAGGGTGGGTGGCAACATAGCATAGGGTGGGTGGTGCGGTCGGGCATGACCCCCGTCTTGCTCTTCGCCTGCTTCATTGTGTCCTCTGCCAAGCCGTACTGAAGCAGAGACGACGGGGGGAAGAGGGGAGGGGAGGGGGTGAAAGCAACGAGGGTGGGTGGCAACATAGCATAGGGTGGGTGGTGCGGTCGGGCATGACCCCCGTCTTGCTCTTCGCCTGCTTCATTGTGTCCTCTGCCAAGCCGTACTGAAGCAGAGACGACGGGGGGAAGAGAGGAGGGGAGGGGGTGAAAGCAACGAGGGTGGGTGGCAACATAGCATAGGGTGGGTGGTGCGGTCGGGCATGACCCCCGTCTTGCTCTTCGCCTGCTTCATTGTGTCCTCTGCCAAGCCGTACTGAAGAAGAGACGACGGGGGGAAGAGGGGAGGGGAGGGGGTGAAAGCAACGAGGGTGGGTGGCAACATAGCATAGGGTGGGTGGTGCGGTCGGGCATGACCCCCGTCTTGCTCTTCGCCTGCTTCATTGTGTCCTCTGCCAAGCCGTACTGAAGCAGAGACGACGGGGGGAAGAGGGGAGGGGAGGGGGTGAAAGCAACGAGGGTGGGTGGCAACATAGCATAGGGTGGGTGGTGCGGTCGGGCATGACCCCCGTCTTGCTCTTCGCCTGCTTCATTGTGTCCTCTGCCAAGCCGTACTGAAGCAGAGACGACGGGGGGAAGAGGGGAGGGGAGGGGGTGAAAGCAACGAGGGTGGGTGGCAACATAGCATAGGGTGGGTGGTGCGGTCGGGCATGACCCCCGTCTTGCTCTTCGCCTGCTTCATTGTGTCCTCTGCCAAGCCGTACTGAAGCAGAGACGATGGGGGGAAGAGGGGAGGGGAGGGGGTGAAAGCAACGAGGGTGGGTGGCAACATAGCATAGGGTGGGTGGTGCGGTCGGGCATGACCCCCGTCTTGCTCTTCGCCTGCTTCATTGTGTCCTCTGCCAAGCCGTACTGAAGCAGAGACGACGGGGGGAAGAGGGGAGGGGAGGGGGTGAAAGCAACGAGGGTGGGTGGCAACATAGCATAGGGTGGGTGGTGCGGTCGGGCATGACCCCCGTCTTGCTCTTCGCCTGCTTCATTGTGTCCTCTGCCAAGCCGTACTGAAGCAGAGACGACGGGGGGAAGAGGGGAGGGGAGGGGGTGAAAGCAACGAGGGTGGGTGGCAACATAGCATAGGGTGGGTGGTGCGGTCGGGCATGACCCCCGTCTTGCTCTTCGCCTGCTTCATTGTGTCCTCTGCCAAGCCGTACTGAAGCAGAGACGACGGGGGGAAGAGGGGAGGGGAGGGGGTGAAAGCAACGAGGGTGGGTGGCAACATAGCATAGGGTGGGTGGTGCGGTCGGGCATGACCCCCGTCTTGCTCTTCGCCTGCTTCATTGTGTCCTCTGCCAAGCCGTACTGAAGCAGAGACGACGGGGGGAAGAGGGGAGGGGAGGGGGTGAAAGCAACGAGGGTGGGTGGCAACATAGCATAGGGTGGGTGGTGCGGTCGGGCATGACCCCCGTCTTGCTCTTCGCCTGCTTCATTGTGTCCTCTGCCAAGCCGTACTGAAGCAGAGACGACGGGGGGAAGAGGGGAGGGGAGGGGGTGAAAGCAACGAGGGTGGGTGGCAACATAGCATAGGGTGGGTGGTGCGGTCCGGCATGACCCCCGTCTTGCTCTTCGCCTGCTTCATTGTGTCCTCTGCCAAGCCGTACTGAAGCAGAGACGACGGGGGGAAGAGGGGAGGGGAGGGGGTGAAAGCAACGAGGGTGGGTGGCAACATAGCATAGGGTGGGTGGTGCGGTCGGGCATGACCCCCGTCTTGCTCTTCGCCTGCTTCATTGTGTCCTCTGCCAAGCCGTACTGAAGCAGAGACGACGGGGGGAAGAGGGGAGGGGAGGGGGTGAAAGCAACGAGGGTGGGTGGCAACATAGCATAGGGTGGGTGGTGCGGTCGGGCATGACCCCCGTCTTGCTCTTCGCCTGCTTCATTGTGTCCTCTGCCAAGCCGTACTGAAGCAGAGACGACGGGGGGAAGAGGGGAGGGGAGGGGGTGAAAGCAACGAGGGTGGGTGGCAACATAGCATAGGGTGGGTGGTGCGGTCCGGCATGACCCCCGTCTTGCTCTTCGCCTGCTTCATTGTGTCCTCTGCCAAGCCGTACTGAAGCAGAGACGACGGGGGGAAGAGGGGAGGGGAGGGGGTGAAAGCAACGAGGGTGGGTGGCAACATAGCATAGGGTGGGTGGTGCGGTCGGGCATGACCCCCGTCTTGCTCTTCGCCTGCTTCATTGTGTCCTCTGCCAAGCCGTACTGAAGCAGAGACGACGGGGGGAAGAGGGGAGGGGAGGGGGTGAAAGCAACGAGGGTGGGTGGCAACATAGCATAGGGTGGGTGGTGCGGTCGGGCATGACCCCCGTCTTGCTCTTCGCCTGCTTCATTGTGTCCTCTGCCAAGCCGTACTGAAGCAGAGACGACGGGGGGAAGAGGGGAGGGGAGGGGGTGAAAGCAACGAGGGTGGGTGGCAACATAGCATAGGGTGGGTGGTGCGGTCGGGCATGACCCCCGTCTTGCTCTTCGCCTGCTTCATTGTGTCCTCTGCCAAGCCGTACTGAAGCAGAGACGACGGGGGGAAGAGGGGAGGGGAGGGGGTGAAAGCAACGAGGGTGGGTGGCAACATAGCATAGGGTGGGTGGTGCGGTCGGGCATGACCCCCGTCTTGCTCTTCGCCTGCTTCATTGTGTCCTCTGCCAAGCCGTACTGAAGCAGAGATGACGGGGGGAAGAGGGGAGGGGAGGGGGTGAAAGCAACGAGGGTGGGTGGCAACATAGCATAGGGTGGGTGGTGCGGTCGGGCATGACCCCCGTCTTGCTCTTCGCCTGCTTCATTGTGTCCTCTGCCAAGCCGTACTGAAGCAGAGACGACGGGGGGAAGAGGGGAGGGGAGGGGGTGAAAGCAACGAGGGTGGGTGGCAACATAGCATAGGGTGGGTGGTGCGGTCGGGCATGACCCCCGTCTTGCTCTTCGCCTGCTTCATTGTGTCCTCTGCCAAGCCGTACTGAAGCAGAGACGACGGGGGGAAGAGGGGAGGGGAGGGGGTGAAAGCAACGAGGGTGGGTGGCAACATAGCATAGGGTGGGTGGTGCGGTCCGGCATGACCCCCGTCTTGCTCTTCGCCTGCTTCATTGTGTCCTCTGCCAAGCCGTACTGAAGCAGAGACGACGGGGGGAAGAGGGGAGGGGAGGGGGTGAAAGCAACGAGGGTGGGTGGCAACATAGCATAGGGTGGGTGGTGCGGTCGGGCATGACCCCCGTCTTGCTCTTCGCCTGCTTCATTGTGTCCTCTGCCAAGCCGTACTGAAGCAGAGACGACGGGGGGAAGAGGGGAGGGGAGGGGGTGAAAGCAACGAGGGTGGGTGGCAACATAGCATAGGGTGGGTGGTGCGGTCGGGCATGACCCCCGTCTTGCTCTTCGCCTGCTTCATTGTGTCCTCTGCCAAGCCGTACTGAAGCAGAGATGACGGGGGGAAGAGGGGAGGGGAGGGGGTGAAAGCAACGAGGGTGGGTGGCAACATAGCATAGGGTGGGTGGTGCGGTCGGGCATGACCCCCGTCTTGCTCTTCGCCTGCTTCATTGTGTCCTCTGCCAAGCCGTACTGAAGCAGAGACGACGGGGGGAAGAGGGGAGGGGAGGGGGTGAAAGCAACGAGGGTGGGTGGCAACATAGCATAGGGTGGGTGGTGCGGTCGGGCATGACCCCCGTCTTGCTCTTCGCCTGCTTCATTGTGTCCTCTGCCAAGCCGTACTGAAGCAGAGACGACGGGGGGAAGAGGGGAGGGGAGGGGGTGAAAGCAACGAGGGTGGGTGGCAACATAGCATAGGGTGGGTGGTGCGGTCCGGCATGACCCCCGTCTTGCTCTTCGCCTGCTTCATTGTGTCCTCTGCCAAGCCGTACTGAAGCAGAGACGACGGGGGGAAGAGGGGAGGGGAGGGGGTGAAAGCAACGAGGGTGGGTGGCAACATAGCATAGGGTGGGTGGTGCGGTCGGGCATGACCCCCGTCTTGCTCTTCGCCTGCTTCATTGTGTCCTCTGCCAAGCCGTACTGAAGCAGAGACGACGGGGGGAAGAGGGGAGGGGAGGGGGTGAAAGCAACGAGGGTGGGTGGCAACATAGCATAGGGTGGGTGGTGCGGTCGGGCATGACCCCCGTCTTGCTCTTCGCCTGCTTCATTGTGTCCTCTGCCAAGCCGTACTGAAGCAGAGACGACGGGGGGAAGAGGGGAGGGGAGGGGGTGAAAGCAACGAGGGTGGGTGGCAACATAGCATAGGGTGGGTGGTGCGGTCGGGCATGACCCCCGTCTTGCTCTTCGCCTGCTTCATTGTGTCCTCTGCCAAGCCGTACTGAAGCAGAGACGACGGGGGGAAGAGGGGAGGGGAGGGGGTGAAAGCAACGAGGGTGGGTGGCAACATAGCATAGGGTGGGTGGTGCGGTCGGGCATGACCCCCGTCTTGCTCTTCGCCTGCTTCATTGTGTCCTCTGCCAAGCCGTACTGAAGCAGAGACGACGGGGGGAAGAGGGGAGGGGAGGGGGTGAAAGCAACGAGGGTGGGTGGCAACATAGCATAGGGTGGGTGGTGCGGTCCGGCATGACCCCCGTCTTGCTCTTCGCCTGCTTCATTGTGTCCTCTGCCAAGCCGTACTGAAGCAGAGACGACGGGGGGAAGAGGGGAGGGGAGGGGGTGAAAGCAACGAGGGTGGGTGGCAACATAGCATAGGGTGGGT